CTTTAGCTCAGTAATCAGATTTCTCAGTGCATGTAAACTCTTACTCTGATTTCTATCGGATTTCTCAGTCTGCGTGAGATCAGACGGTGGATGTCGCGAGACGCAGCAAAACACTGTTGGAGCGGCGCTGAAAACAAACAGGAAATAAAGGATTTAAATATTCTTCATCTTCTAGATGATGTTTGTTTATATTTTCAGGTAAAGTGGCGCGATGTTTTAAAAAAAAAAAGAAAGTTTGAGTTTTACATTGTTTATGTCTCGTCGTCTTCTGTGAGCTTATTGGCTGGTTGTAAAGCAGAAATCTGATTACTGTCTGACTCACGTAGACCCGGAGTTTTCCATTATCTGATTACTCAAGTGCATGTAAACGCGTTGATTGGATTACTGATTTTCTGCAGTTATCAGATTATTAAGTGCATGTAAACACACTCAATGACGGAGGTGAAACCAGCAGAACTCACATACTGAAATACTTTGCTTTCAGAGGCAGGTGATAATGATAACACTGTCGATTCACAAACACAGTCAGTCATTTCATGCGCTGCCGCTGATCCCTTTGAATTAAAATGAAAGTAACTTGTCAAAGTCAGCAGCTGGAGGTGCTCAAACCAGTAAACTTCATTCACTGTGACTGTTAGCTGAGTGTTTTATCCTCTGCAATAAACATTTAAGCAGCGGAACATCAGAGCTGGAGTTACAGTGAATACAGTTACGGCTGTGATTGGGTGATTTTCTTTATCACACGACCTCCAGCGTTTTACTGCTTTATGATATGATAAACTATATGATAGATCTGGAAAATTAACCATGCAAACGTCATTAATGGACCTCAGGGGGAAAAAAGCACAAAAAAGTAGGATATGGGCCCTTTAAAGCACCTGAGACAACGTCTGGAGATTTGTTTTACTTTTTTTCCTTACGTTTTAAAAAAGTCATATAATTCATTTTTACATCGCTATTCCCCACGTTTTTGACACTTTTTATCTGCATCAACATTGTTTTATGGGTAACAGCGTTATATACAGAGTGTCTACAAGTCAAAGCTAAATTAGCTGGTTGCTGTGACGTGGGAAGAAGGCAAAACCAGCCAGTTATTGCCCAAGCAGTAACACCCACCCAGCAGTAACACCCACCCACACAAGCCCACAACCTGTAGGCCAGGGGTCTTTAATGAAAATTCAGTAAGGTCCAATTAGAGAAAATTTCCTCAAGCAAAGATCCGGAACATCATAATGTCCAACTTGCATCATGATTCAGTGCCATATACTGTTTACTGAAGTAGCCTAGTAGGAATATCAACATCTTATACAGTCAACAACTGAATATCAAATCAAATAAAGTACAGTTCAGTCATATTTCAACAACATTTATTGTCAGTTTTCTCTTTTTAGATCACGCCATGTGAAATAACCTCCCTCTGACTCACTTTCTTGTCTTACTGCTGTTTCTCGCCTTGTCCCTCCCCTGTCTACGTCACTCACTCGAGTCTCAGTGCTCATCGTAATACACAGATCTGATTGGCTGAGTAGCGTCACGTGTGATATTTACAACGCATGCGATTGGTCTGTGAGTCTCCTGGGAAATAGCTACCATAAAAATAGAAAAGTTACCATAAAAATAGAAAAGTTACGCTGATTAAAACAGGACCCCCCCGTCGCAATTAAATAATTCTCCATAGTTTATCCGTTATGGGTCCAGGTCCGCATAGGACAGCGTCTGGATCCGGACTTGGACCACGGTCCGCCTATTAGTGACCTCTGCTGTAGGCCATTCACTTATGACCACAGTGTATCAGAATAAATCCTGCCCACATATTATTTCGCAGATCATCCAGAACCCCCTGTTGAACCCATCTAGTGCACATCTATAGTGTCTGTTTTATGTGTTGTTTGTGCCAAAGACAAGTAGAAATTTAATGGTCAGCTACAGCCCACAGTAAGTCATTGCTTACAGAATGATCTTCTGCACGTTGCGTCCACCAGAGGTCTCCAAATCTCCAAAACTTACGTAGTCCAGCTTTAGGATGACAGCTAACTCCACTTTAGTGTATCCAAGCCCTTAAACTGTGACTCATCCAGCATGTAAGTCAGACTGTAGACGGAGTAATTTTGCGACGAGACATAATTCATACACAGCTGCTTCACTGACTCTCTTGGCAGGAGATATTAAAAGCTGACCCAAAGCTAAATGAGCTGGGATATGGCTCTCTCCAGATGGTCAGGTGTCTTTACTCTGCCAGCCAAGGCCACTCTGAGTGGACGGGCCATGTTTTCAGTGACATCTGCTCGCTGTAGCTGAACCACTGGCCATTTCAGACATGCAGCCACGTGAATGTTTCAGGGCCTCCAGGTCAGAAGGTAGAGGGTGAAGGAGCCAGCAGAATGACCATGGCACTGTTCCACAGTCATTCAGACTTTCACAGACAAAGACAAACTAGCATATTGTTGTAGACGCTCGCTGTGCTCCAATTCAGTGCTGCCTCCTTCAGAGGCTGCATTTGAAGGCCGACTGCGTCACAGCGGCGCGACTAGACTGTCCCATTTTAAAGACTCCTTAATATGCGGCCGAGAAATGTGTCCTTCTTTTCTATGGCAATGAAGGAACCAACGGGTGGATCCTTCACCAGCCAACATATCCCGAGGTTCACTGTGTGGCAGCGAGGGTTCGAGAACATGGCGGCGTCAGCAGAGGAGCGAACGGCGGCTGAGGAGACACTTTAAATGTAAGTATTGGGTTTAAACTGAGTTGAATAGCAAACGATACAGATGTTAAAAAAGCCAAAACTTACTCTAACGTCTCGTTTTGTTTTAGGGAGCAAAGAGCTGACAGAGAGAAGCATCTCCAGCTCTAATAAATGAAAAAATAAAAACACTAAAATCAGTTTCTGGCTCCGTCTTTAAAGAACTTTAAAAGAGCTTGACAGAAGCGGCGTTTTGTGATGCAGCAGTGAGGGCAGGAACAGCCTTCTTTGAAACAAAATGCATCTTTTTCAAGATCAGGACTACAGTTCAGACCTCTGTTTACCTTAAAGAAGAAACCAAGCCTGGAGGTCAAAGTAGGGCTGAAAGATTAAATGTTTTTATATCAAAATCACAAATTGAAAGAGTGCAGTTTTGAAATAGCTAAAGTGACCCTTATTAGCCCCACAACAGGGAAATTTCACCTCCCCATTTAACCCATCCGTGCAGTGAAACACCACATACACTAGGAGCAGTGAGCAGCCCTATCCACAGCGCCCGGGGAGCAGTTGGGGGTTAGGTGTTTTGCTCAAGGGCACTTCAGTCATGTACTGTCGGCTCAGGGGATCAAACCAGCGACCGTGCGGTCACAAGGCTGGTTCTCTAACCTCCAGCCCACGATTTTTTATACTCTTATAGTGTTTTATCAACACCGTTGATTTGTTGCAAATTTTCAGTCTGGAAATTTAGTCTAATAACATGGAGCCGGTGAACTGCTTTTAATTAGACTTAGAAATCTGGGGCCGTATTACAGAAAAATTCTTAAGTCTGAGATCTGCTTTGTTGTCATGGTAACTTCAGTTAAGACTGAATTTAGGACAGAAGCCATTACAGAACAACAGATCTTAAGTCTATAATCTTATTTCCAGATGAGAAAACGGTTTTACAGAAACATCCTAAGTTGCCAAAATATCCTAAATATGTTCTTAACTGTAAGATAAACTCAGAGCGTCTTCACTTCTGTTTAACCGTCTGATTCTGTTGTTTATACAGTGATGGGCAGCTCAGCTCACTATAACCAGCATAATGACGCCACATTTATCTACACTGAAAACGGAGCTTTGAGTTTTATTTCTAACAGCGTTTAAAAGCCCAGACGCTGCAGACTCGATCTCCACCGCCCCTCTGATCACCTTCGTGTGTTAATGTTGATGATGAAATATTACAGTGATGGTGGTGAATAATGAGGAGACGGAGCTGAACGTGTGTCTGTTCATTAGGAGGAGTAACATTAGCGCGCTCGGCTAAAGCGGTTGGGAAATGGAGACTGAAACTGTGGAGTGGCGGCGCTCTGATAAACAGCATGAAACTCAAACAATTTTCTTAACTTTCAGTTTTTATTTGACCTTGTTTACCTCAGTAACAGTAGCTAACGTCAGCTGTCTGACTGACTAACTTGATTACGTGTTTACGTTTCAGCTGTGTGTTTATGGTCGGTTGCTAGGTAACAGACACGACAGTTGATTGTTGACTTTGATCGAGAAAGTTAAGATTTCCTAATTTGAGATAAGAAAAGATGCTGTAAGATGAGATAAGATTCTCAAATTAAGCTCAGATTTGCTTCTGTAATATGAATTTGTGTAAAATCTTATCTTGACCTGTCAGATCAGAACTTAAGATAAAAAGATAGGAAGTTTCTGTAATTCGGCCCCTGGAATACTGAAATTCTGAATGAGTGTTATTGAACATCTGTCTGAAATCACTAATGTTAATACACCAAGACTAAATTTCGGTGACACCTCTGTATGTAAACTCAGTAAAGTATCAGCTAAAATAATTTTATCTTTTGTACTCAGCCAAGAAAACAGTTTTACTTTAACTGAAAGAGCCACAACCACCTTCTTTAGCTGGATCACTGTACTACTGGACTGAGTTTCCTACTCTTTTAATCCAAAATCTTAATGATGAAATGTGGAAGAGCTTTTAAATTTGACTGATTTGTAGCTGCCCTGAAATGGACTGGCGACCTGTCCAGGGTGTTTTCTGCCTTGTGTCCAATGACACCACTGGGATAGGCTCCAGCTCCCCAGAAGGATAAGCGGTTTAGAAAATGTGTGTGTGATTTGTTGCTTTATAACACTTCTGTGTTGATTGGTTTATTTATTATTGTTATAATTGTTTTAAGTCCTCTGAATCTAATGTATGCCTGTTCTTCTAGATGCGCTATCACTAATGTGTTTGTTGAGATGGACTAATGTGCTGCTCTACTGTACAACACAGTTACTGTGCAAACAATAAAACATTAATGGACAAATCCAGTACCTTCCAGAGCAGAACTGCCAGGAGGAGGAAGATGAGGATTCCCACCAGCAGGCTGATGGCGATGATCCAGCCCACCACATAACCCCTGGGCTCCTGACTGTGCAGCGCCTCAAACACCAGCTGCAAGTTAACACAGAGAGGTCAGACACACACAAATACAGACAGGCACACACGACAAGGCCGAACACTGACCAGAAGCCCTTCATAATCTCAGACGGTCCAATAAACACACCGAGAACTCATTTGTCTTCAGTGAGGCCCAGAATCTGATATCCAGACTGTATGGAATCACAGAGTTGTGTCCTAAAGGATTGCGTCTGCTAAGCGTCTGTATTGTGTGTTGCCATCAAATAAGATGTTCTGAAGTGATTATGTTGAGATTTCAACAATTTTAATCCATGTACTACAAAAAATTGTATCTTGTCAGATCAAAAATATCTTAAATCTAGTCAAAATATCTAATATTTCTCTTTTTAAGTTGTAAGTTTAGTATAAGATCATTTAGCTCATTTCTAGACATTATGTACTTGTTTTAAGTGATCTCAGTAAGTCAAGTGATCTGATATTTTTGCTTGTAAGAAAGTTGCTTGAAACCAGCAAAATTATCTTCTGATATAGTGAGATCATTTCACTTGTTAATGGGTCATTCTACAGAAACGTCCACTTTCCTCTCTGTCCATAGGAGTCACTGGTGTTACTGATTCTCATTGGTGTTCCACACATGTTGTCAGTCATGGAAAATCCACTAAAATATGGAATTTAATCCATTTGTATTCTATTTTTTCACAGTTACCTCAGAATAAAGTCAGTCACACCAGTGACTTCAGCTAAAACGTCTCCTGGGGACTTTCATTATATATTTTATAATATTTATAAAATTTATTTTAATCTATACACAACAATAAAATACACGATGTAAATTACATAAAGAAAACAAACGCCAAATAAATATTGTAAAATATTTAATGAAAGTTGTCCCCAGGAGTCGTGTCACTGGTGTTACCGCAGAACAAAAAATCTCTTATTTTGAAATAAAAGTCACACTGATGACATCACTTGACTTCCTTTTCCCTGTTTTCTGAGGATCTATGAAGAAAAGCACATGGTGAGTCCACTGTGTCTTTCAGTTATTAGAGATTTTCTCATTTAGCTCATGATTTCATATGAAGCTTTTAGCTGAAGTCACTGGTGTGACCGACTTTATTCTGAGGTAACTGTGAAAAAATAGAATACAAATGGATTAAATTCCATATTTTAGTGGATATTCCATGATTGACCACATGTGGTTTGATGTTCTGTAGCAGTTATTTAGTAAAATGCATTGTTCATTAAAAATGTCTCTGGTGTTCCTTTATTATGTGGAACACCAATGAGGATCAATAACACCAGTGACTCCTATGGAGAGATGGAACAGTGGACGTTTCTGTAGAATGACCCACATATATGGCCATATATCAGATTTCCATATGGGCTTAGAGGATAAAGACTAAAATCTGAGTGAGTGAAGTCGAACGCTAACATATTCAGCCTCACTCCTTGTTATACAAACCCACAGAAACCGTTAAGTGTTTCTGTTGGTTCCTGATAGTTTTGTAATGTGTTTTGGCTTTTTATTGGGTTAATATAGTGTAAAGGATTCTAATGGTTCCAAGGACTGATTATAAATGCATTTGATGGTACAGAATACCTAAAAACAGGTATTGGCAATTTAACAATTTATTATTCAAGATTATTTTTATGGTTTAATGTTTTTAAACAAAAACAGACAAACATAAGTGCTGTAACAGTTAACTACCAGCTGAACTTCTCACTACGGCTCAAGCAGAAAGTATCGTTTCCTGAGAGAGAGAGATGCTAAACTGTGAGGCACTCAGAGGTTTTGTTTATACAGCAATAAGAAGTTTGATAAAAAAGCCCAAATGAGCCCTAAAAATAGAAGAGCTGATAAGGGAGCTAAACTACCCAGCACTCCAGCTGAGCATAAATACAGAGTATTACTGGATGGAAATCCAGCAGAAACAGTTTTTCTTTCACTCTTTAGTTCTGACATGCAAAATATGGTGCCTGGCATTAAGAGTTCAGTGACCTTAAACGTGGAAGAATTTAACCTCTGAAACTGCAGCAACAAAAATACAGCCTTAAAAGCCAAACGGCCTCAACTGAGAAGAGAGATAAATCTCCATATCAGCTCAGAGAAGACGCTCTCACACACACAGTACCTCACCAAATCTGTTAATGCACAGAACCTGTTCAGGACTAAAGAACTGGACTTAAACGAGAACTGATCTGAGCCACAGCATTCAGTCTAGTATTTCTCAGAACGTCTTTAAAACGTCTATAATACAGAGGTAAAAAGAACCAGCTGGCTGACATAACAACAAATGTGCTTTCTGTGTTCTTGTACACACTTAAAAAAGGTTCTTTAGTAAAGAAAATGGTTCTTTAAAGAACCATAAACACTCAAAGAACCCTTTGCAAGATTAAAGGTTTCCTTGAATCATGAAACAGTTCTTCAGATTGATGGAGAATGTGCTGTAGATGGTTCTATATAGAACCTGTTAGAAAAGGGTTGTGTATAGCACCAAAAAAGGGTTCCTCTACTGTATCAATGTAAGCTCATAACAACTGAAGAATCATTTTTGGTGCTATACAGAACCCTTTTCAAAAAGGTTCTATACAGAAACATCTGCAGCACATTCTCCATCAAACAGAAGAACCATTTCATGATGCAAAGAACCTTTTAATCATGCAAAGAGTTCTTGTGAGTGTTTATGGTTCTATATAGAACCGTTTTCTTTACTAAAGAACCATCTTTTTTAAGTGTGTACACTTTTGAGCCGTTCTATTCGTAGGTTTTAACTCGTGAACGTTTGAGAACCGAGAGTTTATATTCACTAACTGTGCATTTGGTGAGTTTAGCATTTAGAGCTCTTAGTTAGTTTGCTCTGCTTAAAAAAAGACCATTAGAACCATTAGACCATTAAAACCTGATGGTTTTGGTTTTAAATGGGAATTGGCTTTATGGTTGCCATTAGAGGTTCTATGAGGAAACCATCAAACATGTCTGGAAGCAGAACAGATGTTCAGCATTAGAATCCTCTGATATCGACCCATCAAAAAGCCAAAGCTAAGCTGCACTTGTAGGATTAGTAAAAATGTATTTGTATATATTTGAAATACATTTTAAACACACTGCAGTCGATGCTGAAATACATTTCAAATACTAAAATATATTTCAGAATATTTTGCCATATTAACCAAATATATTTTAAAATGCATTTATTTTAAAATGTATGGGGAAATATTACACATAGAAATGGACCATACAAAAATAAATGTATGTTTATATATATGTTTATGAAATCCATTTGAAAATGTATGAAAATATCCAGAATCCTGTCTGATGCTCTTCACTGTCTGATACCTTTAGAAATGAATTTGTGTTCCAGTATCTTCATTTTAAATCTGATCTAATGATCCTTTAACAGGACAGAAGCGAGTGTTGTGGGTATTGATACTCTGTGAAAATGCAGTTATGATCTGATATCTTGTTTATGTGAAATACATTGTGTGTGAGAGTCTGACTGCAGACGTACATGGTTAATGTAAAGTCAGTACTGTTCATTCAGTTCATGTGTATTTAGTTATATCTGTTACCTTTGTTACAGATACATAGAATTGAAAAAAACATACAATACAATAAAAATAAATGCATTTAAAAATATATTTCACAAATAAATGTTTTGCCATTTTCATATATCGCAAAATTGTTTTGTATTGTGGTACTGTTAGCATGTATGTTGTGATCTTGTTCCTAAATCTATAAGCTGAACAGCCATGGCTTCTTAATAAAGAACAGATAAGCGGTACTTTTACTAAGTGCTCGAGAAGATCAGGAGGCCACAGGTCTATTTTATGATCCCAGCTTAAATTAGCTCAGGTCCAGTGAAGCGTGGGGTCAGCTGGTCAAGACAGGGTCAGCAACCCCATAAGCTGAGAGCTGTGCTGCAAGACACCATCACCGCTACCACGTCCTACTGGGACTGTCAATCAGCCAGCGTAAAGTGGTCTGGGCCTCCTGTGTTGGAGGGGTTGAGGGGAAAAAGCCCCTCAGGAACTACAGCCCACATCTCATCCAGGCAAATCTGTCAGCTGGTGAAAGTCAGTGGAACTGAGCGGTCAGCTAAATGGATTATTTCATCTTCCTCAGAGCTCAGAAGGGTGTCTGGGGTTGTGGGTCGTCACTCAAGATTACAATATTCAATATTATGCTTTTCCTCAATGAAAAGCAATTCGCTAAGTGTGCTAACTATAAATAGATTTCCTTTATTTAAAACTATGCATTATACTGTACTGTGCAAAATGCAATTTCCAGTCAAAATGGCCATTAAGGACAAGTTATTCATTTTTTACTGATCATGTCCTCTTTTCACCTTTATTCCAGCTTCCACTCTTTTCAGGAGCCTCACTTTCAGTTCCTCAAAGAATCTGCAGACACACCTCCAAAGTTCAATGTTGATCATTTTCTGAAGTAATCAAACACATTCAGTGGTGTTGAGTCTGGACTCTGGGGTGGTCAGTCCATCGTTCAGCTTCTTTGTTTGATGTGTCCGTCTCCTTTTCTCAGTGAGGTTCTTCTTGATCAGCTACACATCCTTTCAGACCCACAGCGCTGAGTCGTCTTCTCACAGTGGAAAGATCTTAGAAGCAAAGCACTAATCTAAGGCTTCAAAGTCAGAGAAAAGCAAAACATTGAAGACTCTGTAGCTTCAAAAGGGTGTGAACGTGCTAATTGAGCCCCTCCTGTTGATGGAGTTTGGTCCTGATGCGAGTCCCCCTGGCGGAGCTGTTCAGCGTGGAAAAAAACTGGATAAAGCACAGCCGAGTTCTAAGTCCGAACGTCCGGCGAATAGGCTTTAGGCGCTATTAAAATAGGGGGTAGAAGGGTGGGTATTCATTATCTCCGGAATGGAGCAAGAAAGGGGATCAAACAAAGGCTCGTTAGAAGTCGGCGGATGACAGTAGAAAGCTATTAAGGTTTGGTGGGGGTGGGTGCTTTTTTGCGGAGCGAAGGCTGATTGAAATTCCCCTGGAATACAGTCATATCTCAGGAACGGTAAGGAGTATCGACTCGGGGGTCACCATTTCAGAAAGGTCTGGGTTTTGTGAGTAAGCTGGTGAAGTTTGGTGGAGCTGTGATTTTCCTGAGAGCTCTGCTAAGCGTTCAAAGGTACAGGAGCTTATATCTCCTGAACGGAAGTAGCTAGCAGGACACGGATGGGCTCGTTGGAAAGAGCAGGGTCGGATCTAGTAGGGTGCAAAGTGCTGTTTATCTGATGGGGGTCAGTCTGGTGTCTACCAGGTCTTCCAGGTGGTTGTTAGAAGTCACATTTTCTCTGTAGCTTTTAATCAGCTGCTCCTTCCTTATGCAAGTGGATTATCTTAAAACTAATATCCTCACAAACATCTCCTGGAAAATGGATAACTTGTACCTACTGGCCGTTTTGGCTGTTTTTGATTGGATGTTAAATAAACTGAAGGGTGGGCTCTGACTTTTGCACAGTGCTGTATGTTTGTATTTTTGGATAAATGTTTGAATGAAGGTTTTTGACGGCCTGATACTCACTGAAATGTCCTCAGGTAGGCCACTGGACACCTCCATAGCCCGGTGGTCCACTTGGACGTGTCCTCGTGTCACAAACTGGATAACTGAGGAACTGTCCTGCACAGAACACAAACATTTACACATTTTTGAAAAAATAAATGTTTTTTACAAAATTGTAGAAATAGAATTAAGTACAATAACACATATAATAAATCAGATTCATTAAGCAGACGCAAGCTGTTTCATCCTATGTCCACTCGAGCTGCTCGTCCTTTTTAGGCAGACAGACTCACTCACATCCATCCTCTTCATCCCTCTATCTGCCTGTTTTTCCCACAGGCTTCTCACAGCTCTATCTCTCTTTAATCCCTTCTTTTTATCCCTCACTTTCATCCAGTACTTTCCAGTAGACATTTGATCCTGTAGAAACTTGTTAATTTGACCTGAACCCCTTGAACTTTCAAGCTGGAATGTTGGAATATTTATTTCAAATAAATATTTGTGTGTGTTTCATACAGACTCTGCCCTCCTACCCTGTTATTCTTTCTTTCATCCCTCCATCCTCTCAAAAGAAAGCCCTTCATTTTGATACACAGTTTTTAAGCTAGACCCATCAATTTGGGATAAAGATTCAGCTCTGGGTACAAATAATGATTCAATACTGACAATTAGAGACACACCCATCATGAGTTTTATGGCTGATTCCGATTTACAGCAGGAAAACTGGAAGTCTGGGAGTTTAAGGCCCAGTCCCATTTCTCATTTTTACCCCTACCCCTTGTTTTCGAGTGTCTCCTTTCCATTGGAGCTGAGTTACAGGGTAGTGGTTGAAATCTTCCCTCTGAAATGGGACCCTCAAATAAAAAGGGGGATCACTTCATTAACAGCTACCAGCGCTGCTCTGTAGGCGACCCTGCCAGTCTGCAGTGACAGCAGAGGAGGGTAAAGTTCAGCTCCTCACTGCTGGGCTTTAGTTACATTTAGGGCATCATATGATCTTCAAAGAGGGGGGCAATTATTTATTATCACCCACCTCTAATTCTTCAGTGACATGAAGCTGAAGTCAGATATTCACCAGATTCTTGTTCAAATTTTGTCTGTTCCACCTTAAATGGTGCAGTAGTTACATTGCAGCATCTCAGGCATCAGAACTGCTGCTCCATTTAAGGTGGAATGGAAAAATTTGAACAAGAAGCTGGCGAATATCTGACTTCAGCTTCATGTCACTGAAGAATCAGGTGTGGGTTTGGTGGAGCTGTGATTTTCCTGAGAGCTCCAGAAAAACACAGGTTATTCAGAGACATCAGCACTACTAGTGATTTTTTTATGCTTGTTATAAAACGACATTAAACTAAAATAATATAATGGTTATCGTCATTTTTTAACTGAGAAAATTCTCACATTTGTGGGTTTCTTTGGTCTCTTGTTCTCCATCTTGCCGGTTTTTCTTTTTTTCTCATAACTCTCTGTTTGGAGTCTCTGAAAAACCTCTGTTTGGAGGGTCATGCAGCCCCAACACTTCACCCCACCCCTCTATCTCAGCAACAATCAGGACACCTAAATGGTAGGGGTGAGGGGTGAAATGGGATTGGGCTTGAATAATGCTTTGACAAGAAGCACACTAGCACACTGGGAAGGGGGATTGAGGGGCTGCAGCACGTCCAGATTTGCTAAAAACAATTTTTAAAAATTGTAACTTTAAAATATTTTTTATTTTATGTTTTATGTTGTATTTCCAATGTTATCTAACACTGACTTCACTACTTCTTAAATGTTTGAGCTTCAACAAAGCCAACTATTATTATTCTTCTTCTTATTATTATTATTATTATTATTTTAGAAAGATTCATAATCACATCTAACACTGCAACCACTTCTACTGAATAAAGACCTCAACAACTCTACACTCTTCAAATTTTGAAACTCTCTGAAAATTTTTCTTTCAAACTCCCATGTTCTCAGTTTGGACCAGCTCATTCATACACTTCACTTCACATTCAGTATTTGACTACATCTGGATACGCAGCTGTATGCAAACATTTGAACAGTTTAACACAAAAAAAAGATAAAACATATAATACAAAATGTGTCATAACTTTTGCACAGACCACATTTATGTTCCAGTGTGTTAAATTCAGTAAATAAACAGTAATTGTGCATTAAAATGTGCTGCTTTCTGTAGAGGGTGTGAACTTATTTTCACTTCAATCAACAAAACATGGAACTTGACCACTGTGCCCAAACTTTTGCGTATGACTGTCAGTAGCCAGTCTGGATTAGAGACCCTACGACGTGGCTGTTGCTTGTCAACAGCTGCTTCAACGCAGAACACTTTTTTCGGGTTTGTGACGCACTGATTACTGTTTCTCTGCTTAATTATAAACTATTACTACTCAATCAGAACAGAGCGCTCTTACCCTCGTCAGTATTTCAGTGTTCAGTAGCATTTGCACATCTATACTCGTAGCTTCTTCTTTAGCTTGAGATCCAAGGCTGCAGGAGATGGTCTGACAGGCTCTCCCGGGCCGGTCACAGTCCTGTCAACAAGTATCATACACACACCATCACACCACCAATCATAAACCGCCCACCACTCTGTTACCCCACCCGAGCCTGACGGGGCAGACAAAACAGGGTGTTTCACATCCTCGGGATTTGGGCTCAGGCTCAGGTTTGACTTCTGATGAGTGATTTTATTTAGATTTGTTTTTATTTAAAACAATGTGTCTGTGAAAATTTCAAGCCCACTCTCTCACAGGCTTTGTTCACACAGCAGGTAAAAGTGGCCACATCTTCTTCTCCGTATGTGACACAGATGTGTGTCTGTGTGTCAGTGTGAACAGATAAACACACTGAATCTGACAGTTTCAATTCTGATTTGAGACGCTTTCATATGTGGAACTGAAATCTGATATGTATTTGATCTGCGGCAGTGCGACTCAGTCTGAACCGCCAGATCGGAATTCATGTGACTTTTACATCAATCCAACTCGACATTCGCCATAATTTCGCGCTGCTGAGGCTCATAAACATTTAGGCTGATGTTTCAGTACAAAAATTAGAGACTCATCTTAACCCTCCGTGTTCAAAGAGATTTCTAAAGAAATGTCCGAACGCGGCCGCAGGAGAACGAGGCTGCAGCGTCAAAGAACAGTTAAAAGTCTGAAAGCAGAGTTTAAAGAATCCGAGGACCCGAACCAAAGAAGTGACCGCGCCCTTTTTACGGCTCAAACACATTCTGGGTGATGAGCCCAGCTGTCAGTCAGTGAAGCTTCATGATGGCTCCTGTGATGCTGGTGAAGATGAAGCTGAACCTCCGGGAGCGACTGGCGTTCGTTGGCGGTCGTGATTGTTGACCTCTGGATGAGCCGTGAAGCAGCGTGACGCTCTGTTCTTTTACACATGAGGGTCAGTTTAGGAGCTGATCTGTTCAGACTGATGATACAGATCACATTTAAAAGATGATCTGAACAGCCAAACAAAAAATCAGATTTGGGCCACTTTTACCTGCTGTGTGAACGAAGCCTTAGTGATATTTTTAGTACTCACTAACACTGTACTGAGTAATCTACTTATAATGAAGTACACTCTTAAAAAAGATGGTTCCTCAAGGGTTCTTTAGTAAAGAAAATGATTCAGTTTGGAACCATGAACACCCAAAGAACCCTTTGCATGATTAAAGGGTTTTTTGAATCAGAGTTCTTCAGATTGATGGCTAATGTGTATGAATGCGCTATAGACTGTTCTAGACTGTAGAAACTTTTTGAAAAGGGTTCTTCTATTATAATACGCTTGACATCGCAACAACAGAAAAACCCCTTTTGGGTGCTATATAGAAGCATTTTCAAAAAGGTTCTATATAGAACCATCAACAGAACATTCTCCATTGATCCGAAGAACCATTTCACCATGCCAAGAACCATTTAAGCATGCAAAGGGTTCTTTGGGTGTTCATGGTTCTATATAGGACCATTTCCTTTACTAAAGAACCCTTGAAGACCCATCTTTTTTAAGAGTGTAGCTGTTCGTGTAAATGAGTGTAATGAACCTTAACAGTTAAATCATTAAATCTATGTGGTTTTAATTGAAGGTCGTTATCTCGCACTGCTGCTCAGTGATCTCTGATCGAGCAGCGCTGCAGTGGAGGTTTAGTTCCCCGTCAGAAAAGCTCTTCTGTACAGCTGTCAGTAAAGTAGGTTTTATAGTTTTGATCCTCATCTGTCTCTTTCAGCAGCAGCACAGCGACAGCAGGAATCACATCCGAGGCTGACGCATCTGAGGAGCTCACGCTTCCAGTTTTCCGTCTTGTTGGAGTCGTTTGATTGGCTGGTTGAGCTGTAGCTGAATGTCCTCTAAAGCCAGACAGACACTCTGTGATGTTAGAGATCTTGTTCTTTGGTGACTCTCATTGCACGTTTGAATAGACCATCGTGTTCAGACAAAGCTACGATTTATAAACTCGCACTGTACGAAACGCTCCGTCTGACTGACCTGCTACGGGAAACGCAGCCTCTACAGACGCTCTGTCTACAGACCGTTATCAATAAAGCTGATTCACTCAGAATAACCGAGTACTGAGCAACACGCTGAGACACTGAGCAACACGCTGAGACACTGAGCACTGAAGCTAAAGCAGGCACTGATGTTCACGGCAGGACAGTTCGGTCTCTCTACAGACTATATCCTGGTTTCTCAACCTGTAGGCCGCAGACCACTAGTGGGCTGTGAAGCACCCTCTAGTGGTCCACCTGCCTGAACTCAGGGATAGGCAGTATTTTGTAGAGGTCCGGTAGAGACGTATAAATAAAAACATCACAGTAACAGGCAAATTAAATGTCATCAGTTTGAGACAACACAGCTGCGGGAGCACAGTGTGGACAGTTAGCCAGAGATGGAGAGGTTTCTCAGGGTGTTTCTCCAACCTTGTTCGGTGCAAACCTATCAAACGTTTTACTTGAGTTCGCTCACAGGTGGGCCTTGGGGTGGAAAAGATTGAGAGCCCCTGGACTGTATTACAATTACAATTTAAAAATCAACTTATTAACATTTATACCTCACAATTTTATTTGATCAAACAGAATAAAATCACATATAAAGACTTTAGTAGAAAATGTCAACTTTTTTGCCTCTGTTTTGTTAGCCTACGTGTCTTCACCTGAATTGGGAAAGCAGTTGGGATTGTGTTTGATTTTTAAAACGGGCTAAAATCACACAGTGTATTCCTGGCAGGAATATAACAAGATGGAATGTTTAAAGCAACCAGCAACTTTGCGTCCGTCCTCCATGGCATAAGAAGCACCTCTCTGGGTGAGCAGAGCCTTGTTCACTGCCAGTTTGAGTTGTTTGTAGATCAGCGCTAGTGTTAATATGCATGAAATACGATAGGTTGCTTACCAGAACCTTCCTGCCAGACTTGGTGAAGAAGGCAAAGATGGTGTGGAAGATGCTCTCTTTGTCCTGGGGGATGGTGCACGGCGTGGGGTTTCGCTGCCACGTACAGTTCCCTCGACCTTCAGCCACCTGCAGGAGGAACACAAGAGCTCACTGTGAACAGCTGCATACATTTCCAGCTCTTTGTGAACCAGGACAGGCAGCTGAAAGCCTGAGGCAGTTTGAGGATAATAAGTAGCTTTCTCAGCTTCATAGCATTTGGAGAAAACTATTATTTGGAAAAAAATTAGTTAACAGATGTTTTTGTAAATGTAAGCATATTTACTGTCATTCTTATTCTTAAGGCCAACCTGCATCGGACTTTTTCGTACTAAATAAATTGGATGGACAGCTATGATTATGATGCAATGTAAACACACTGATGTCAGTTCAACCTAATCTTCTCTGTTATTGTGTTGAGGTGCTGCCTAGTCGCATCACCAGCAGTGCACCTTTCTCTGACAGCTGTCCCGACATTGAGGATAATCTGAACTGATATTTGTACATAAAGAGTCTGGATAAAAGGGAGCTGTTTAACAGAAATGCTAACATACAGTTGTATGTAGGTTTGACCACCCCCCGTCAAATTACGTTTTGTTGATTTTAAAGTAAACACTTTCTCTATATAACACTTAAATATGGTACTTTTCTGCAAATGTCAGTGCAGAATTTCTACTTATTTGCCTTAAAACATAAAACGTGAAATATAATCAAGAAAAACAAAATGTAATTGGACCTGCATGGTAAAGTGTATTTTTTCCTCATTATTGTGATATCGAGTTTCTGTGATAAACACATTGTTAAGAGTTGTAATGACCAAATGATCTCAGAGATGTCATTCTGTTGTTGACACAAACCTTTAGAAGCCTAATGAGAGCGCGGGATTGAACTCTGCTCTCCCACACAGAGGATGAGTAACTTAACCATTCAGCTATACAGCCAATCACAAATCACAGCAGCTCAAACTCTCCTCTATCCTGAGATGTTCAAGTTTTGCATACAACTGTGTGGAAAACCTTTTGTTTCTGGCATATGTCAACAGTAAAATATAGGCACTTATATGTCGCTGCTGTCAGAACAAAACCTTGTATCTCCAAAATGGTAACTTTACAGGAGAAGGAAAAAACCTACTTTACTTTCCATGTAAGCCAATGAAACCAGAATTTTTTCCAAGTAATTCTGGGTCGTTTCTTTTGCCTTATTCATCATGAAATGTAAATAAAATGTAAAGGACGACAGACACGTTCAAACTATGTCAAAAACTGAAAATTCTGATTTTGAGGTTTCGTTCCAACAGAAGTGATATATGGATTTTTTAATTTTTTCTATTTCAAGTATTCATGTAATATTTGAAGGTTTGCTGTTGAATTTTGGGGTATTTTGAATAAACAATGGCCAGTATTTCATTAAAAATTATTCAATGAAATAAAAACATAGGTGTTTAGTTTTTTACTCCTAGTGAGACGCCAGCAGCTGCATTCTGAACCAACTAAAGCTGTTTGGTTGTCTGTTTTGGGGGTCCAGTTAGGAGACCATTACAGTGATCAATCCTGCTAGAAATAAAGGTGTGGATGAGCTTCTCCAGGTCTGCTTTAGTCAGAACATCTCTGATCTTGCTGATGTTCTAAAGGTGATAAAAAGCTGATTTAGTAACTGCTTTGACACGACTGATAAAACTGAGATCATCAGTACACCAAGGTTTCGTACTAGTTCTTTAGATTTCAGAGATTTTAGAATCCAGATAGGTGACTTGAAGGACTGAAGGAAGTTCCACCTCAGCAGGAGTTCAGCAGCCCCTCCCTAACAGATTTCCCCATATGGAGTGATTTATTGCTTCACCTCCACCCCATTCCAGTGACCCCAGGGAGCCCCCCCCTTTTACTGCTTTTCACCTCATCCTCTCCAGCCAGTAAAGAGCTCCCTGTGTGGATGTCCTGTCGCCCCCCATTGTTTAACCCTCGCACCGCCCACAGCACCGCAGCGCTGCCCTGTGCCGTTCCCACAGCCGTCCTCAACCCTCAGCAGTGTCCTTCAGCGGCTGCTTTCACCAGGCTTCCCCAAACAGTCCAACACTGCTGATTTAAAACTGAACCGAAGAGCGAGGCCCCCAACTGTTGATGTAAAAATGCCCGCCATGTTTCCAGCAGGGAGATGCAGTGGAACGCTTCCACACAGGCACTTGCAGTCAAGCTTGCTGTTTGTTTGGACTGTGTGAACAGTGTTCCTTGGTTAGGAACTGCCTGATATCCTGATCCTGCACTGTTGGAAGTAAAGGTTCTGTGCCGGACCATTTTCGTTCATCAAGGTACAAATAGTGTAACTGTTCCCTCAAAAGGTACAACAGTGGTTTTAAGGTACCTGCACAGAACCTTTATTTCTAACAGTGCAGTTCCTTTTCTAAAGAGTTTGCACTGCTTGGCTATTATTTTATTTATTGTATTGTTTGTCTGTCATTATTAGCAGCTGGTGTGGCAGGAAAGACATGAGTGTCTGTGAAGAGTCGGACATCAAAACAGGCAGATTCTGCACTGATGAGGTGCTAGACGATGCTCTGATGTTGATTTCCCTCGTTTCATGTGAACCGTCACAAAAATGTTCCCACCAGAAGTGAACTGAACCAGGGCTCATCTGGAAGTGAATCGAGACCCTGCTATTTTTGCCGAACCACCGTTCAGTGCGCACCCGAGTTCTTCGGGGCTACAAGTTTTTCATAGCATCCCTCTGGTGCAGTACCTGTCTGTACAAAACCAGCGCCTGAGCCTCGAACATGAGCTGAAATAATATTTACCATCTGAATAACACTCACTCACTCATAATAATAATAAAAAAAAAAATATATATATATATATATAATTATATAGAAAGCAGCTTTACTTTGATTAGCTTTCAAGACTGAATCTTAAATTTTCCCTGTGGTTTCTTCTAATTAGTTTACTGAAGGTTGAAACTGATGTGGGTTAAATGATATTCTCATTTAACATATTTCTTATATCAAGAATTTAATATTTACTAGTTGAAATTTATATTCACATGTGAAACTGAATTTCTGAGATGAAGAAAAATAGAAAATAAAAGCCAAACGGCCTGCCGCAGTAATTAGAATCTGAGCAAGTCAATTAAACTTTTGATTGTAATAAAAAATATGTTTAGTTTACGTTAGTAAGTATTACTGTAATTACAAAGAATTGGAAAAAGGCTTGAATAATACAACAGTCTTGTTATGGTACTTGTGTATATTTTTCCCCACAATGGTATAATAATAACAACAGTAATAACAGACTGTTGTAACTTTTTTGTAACCAACTCTGTTCTTATCACCCAGGAGATCAGCTACATGAGCAGCTACTGTGGCAGGTAGAACACACTCAGCCCGAGCTGACAGACTGATACTCCTCAGGTGTCGTTTTCCACACAGCTGCCTGATCCCTGAGTAAGTGATGCCATATGGAGCCGAATGGGTGGGACGGAGTTTAACACTATTAACAAGCTGAACTCCTGCGTTATATACCAGTGTGGTCACCGAGGGGTTAAGGAAACATCTTATGCAGAGGTGGTGTTAGATTACTCCTTTCAAAATAAGAGTAGCTGTGAGACGTGATGTGGTATTAGGTGAGGTAGCTACACAAACGAAGGAGCCTCTCTTTTTTATTAACAGTAAGCCTGAGGATGATGACTCTGCTAAACCATCCAGGCCCTCCGAGCAACACCAACAAACCCAAAACAAACTCAAAAAGCCACTCGAGATAACTTTAATATGAAATAACAGGAGCTCCCAAAACTAGAGGCCAAACTGATTAAAAGCTCCAGAGAAAAGGTGTCTCCTAACAACCACCTGGAAGAGCTGGTCGACCCCAAAACTGCCCCCATCAGATAAACAGCACTTAAAGCTTTCATCTCTGAGAGAGAGGAGAAAATCAAGCTGATCAGATCTGAAAACATCCACAGGTGTTTCTGTCCATCCTTCCACTGTGAGAAGACGACTCAGCGCTGTGGGTCTGAAAGGATGTGTAGCTGATCAAGAAGAACCTCACTGAGAAAAGGAGACGGACACATCAAACAAAGAAGCTGAAAGATGGACTGACCACCCCAGAGTCCAGACCTCAACACCACTGAATGTGAAAATGATCAAACAGCTTCTAAGACTGAACTTTGGAGGTGTGTCTGCAGATTCTTTGAGGAACTGAAAGTGAGTCTCCTCACTGGAATAAAGGTGAAGAGTGACTCTCTGACTCACTCAGCTGAGAGTCGATTTAGCTGCTGAGGCCTTTTTGTTAAACGTGCTTTCTGCTATTTTTCTGATGCTGTAAAATGAATAACTTGTACTTAACCCTTGTGTGGTGTTGGTGTGTGTGTTACTCAGTGGTCTGCTGGACCCACTGCATTATTGTTTATTTGAATCAATACAGCCATAACAATTTATGTAAAAATACCCGATGTTTAAAATATCACAAGTGTCCAGTGTAGCATTCTCCTTTAGCAGCTGTAGCCAGTCAGCAGCCTGTCCATGTTGTCCACCCTCACACACACACACACACACACACACACACACATATACAAACACATACACACACACACTAACAGCAGGCCATGTAGGAGGAGAACAGAGTGAAGGACACAGCACCTCCACACTTTTACTCCCCGTGGTTCACCCAACACCACATGTGTAATATAAATGTGTGGGGGGTGAACAGAGTGAAGCACTGAAAATGGGTTATTTTATATGTTCTTCACAGAAAACGAGCAAAGACCATTTTTTTGGCCAATTTGATGCAAACAAGTAAAGTTTAAAAACCAGAAGTGAACATATAGTACTAGTATAGTGATCTAGAGAAGGTCACTAATAAGATATGAGATCTGGTAAGAGACTCCTCTGTAGAGACTCCTCTGTAGAGACTCCCCTGTAGAGACTCCCCTGTAGGCTAAACTATTTATATATATATATATATATATATATATATATATATACTCATTAATATTTAGCAGTGGCACAGTAAACGAGTAAGAATGTGAATTTGTGCGACTTACCTGTGTGTCTATGATGTGGAACATGTCTGCCCCATTGGCAACCAGTCTGTTAGGTATCCTTATGTCTACAGTGGAAGCAGGCAGCCTGCTCGGCCCGTTATTTATCACCTAGAACAACAACATAAGGGAAACTGAGTTATTCAAAGCTTTCTGTGTTTTATTTATTTGAGTTCTGAAGATGCTCCACCGTAACATCATGATATTGTACTGCATCTATTAGGGGCTGCACAGACTAGTCGACTTTACTGCTCGGCGAAGACGCTTTAATCTCGATGTCGACTAGCCGCTGATCACGTGATTATGACCCCAACAACGTGGACGCCTCAGAGAAGACAACAGGTGAGGAGCCTGGTGATTTCGGAAGGCTAGCAATGCGATCAAGGGGAAAGGGCTGAAAAGGACGCGTCATGCTCTACTGACCTGTGGTGCTGACCAAATATCAGACACTGAACGTTGTTATCTCTGGTTTCCTGAAGACTACAATAAGAGTCCTGTGTGGTTGGAGAGGGAGCATAACGCCCTGTAATCCTGCACAGTTTGAAGTCAGTTACTCTTATTTTCATTAATGTAGTTTATGTTAAGTTTGGGGGGAGGAACATGACTGAAACCCCTCCTTCTTCCACTCTAATGACCTAAAAATTCACATTCTCACTTTCTGTTCCTGTGACGAAGTGTTTGCAGTCCCCTCCGCCTCCCCATCTCCTCCCTGTTCCTCAGTCCTACATCAGTCCTACTACAGCTATGAGGGGGACTGGCCTTCTAGCTACAGGCAGAAGCTGCCCAGAACTCCAGCCCAAGTTCTCAGAGTTCTCCCCCTCCCTCAATCAGTCTTCCCTCATACTACCACCACCATGTTGAAGGCATGGTCTGATCTCACAAACAGCTCTCTAAATCTCTCCGGCTCTCCAGACCTCCATCACAGGCAAGCACCTCAGCAAGGCCGCCTAGGGTGCGCCTAAGTTGGATACAAATTAGTGAGATTCTGGGGTCCGTATGTCCGGCTCCCTCAAGGCCAGCAATGCCATCCAAAGCATATTGGAAAGGGCACATCACGCTCTACTGACCTGTGGAGTTTGGCTTTTTTTAAGGTCGCTTGTTGCAAAGCACTCCCTTCTCCTGATGTTTTATTTATTAGTGATTGGTCAACGTCAACTCGACTCTCGTCACATAACTGTCTACTTTAGAAAGTCTAAAGTTGTGCAACCCCTAAAATCAATAAAACACTTTAAACTTTCATTTGAAATATTTACAGCTCGTACACAAATCCTGTTTCCGTTACATTCAAACTGTGAACTACACTAAAAACATGGTTGCACACCTGGAAGGTGAAGTTGAGGGGCTGAAAGTTGCACTCCAGGTCCTCCAGCTGAACGAAGCGAGAGGCCTCAATGGAGTTTCCGTACACAAACGAGGAAGGATTGACGACACTGCAGAGACAAAGAAATACAACGACACCAGTCTCTTACTGCTCACATTAAAGGGGAATTCCACCAGATTTTCAAAGTTTCTACATAGTGAAATGGTTAAGATGTAAACAGAGTCGTTCAGAGTGGTTTGGTGTGAAACGCTCTGTTCTAGAGAAACTTACTGAGTCAGAACTGTTCACAGTGGTGGTGATAGGAACCAGACGTCCACCTCTAAAAGCTCCCTCACAGAAAGTTCCTACATGAAATGGTTATGAATTCACTGCCTGATGACTGAGACACTGTTTTATGATAGTTTTGAGAACTTAAACTCCATTCATGGTGGAGGGATACATGCAGGGCGCTGTGAGACAAAATAGTCCCCAAAGAAAACTTATTATTTCAGATTTTCCACTATTTTCCATCATCAACATTCCATATAGACTCAGAAGACTCGTGTAGGTTCACTGGTGGTTCTGGATAGTAAATAAAATGTCTATATTGTGTCTGGTTCCTATCACCACCACTGTAAAGAAATCTGTTGGTTAAGTTTCTCTACAATGAACCATTTTAATGAAGTTTGTTTACATCTGAATTACACAGAAATTTTGAAAAAGTGGTGTAATTCTCCTTTGAAGTAACTGATTTGATCTAATATTGCCTGTTTGATGCTTAATGTTCCTAAACTTGTAAACTACGTTTAGTTGTACATTTGTGTTTAGGAATCTAAAAAGGAAACGTGAAGCTTGTAAATTGACAATAATTCTTAAATCTTAGATAAATTTACTGCACTCTTAAAAACTAGGTTTCCTAAAAGGTTCTTAATGTGGACATACGGTTCTAGGAAAACCATTAACACTTTAATAAAAGGCAGCATCTGTGAGGCTACCATGACAACTGATATAACCATGACAACTCATATAAACTTACATAAACATTTTGATGTCATTACTCCTCAGCAAGTGTTAATGATATCTGACGCTTGTTGCAATAAGCCTTTATAAATGTCTATGTATGTTAATGCATGTTATTGTTAAAAAGGCTTATATACACACTTAAAAATGGTTCTTCAAGGGTTTTAGTAAAGAAATTGGTCCTATATAGCACCTTTTTGAAAAGGGTTCTAAATAGCACCAAAAAGGTGGAACAAGCTTGACATCGTCACAAAAGCAGAACCCTTTCGGTGTTTTATAGAACCATTTTCAAAAAAGGTTCTATACAGGACCATGCACAGCACATTCTTCATCAATGCAAACAACCCGTTTATCATGCGAAGGGTTCTTTGAGTGTTCATGGTTCAATGTACACTACTGTCTTTACTAAAGAACCCTTGAAGAAACATCATCTTTAAGAGTGTAGGTGTTATGTAGCCTTATTAACGCTGCCCTACATTAAAGTGTTACTGGAAACATACTTAAAGGGCCCATGTGCTCCTTTCTTCTTGTATTTAATCTTTTATCACCTCTGTGAGGTTTTATTTACCAAAAGCAGCCATAATTAATTTTTAATAAACTTTTCCCTGTTTTTGTTACTGTCTTTAAGACTGATACGTAAATGACCTCATTCAAAAAGCAGTCCAGGCTGAAACATTCATAACTTCAGTGTGAGTGGGCGGGGCTAAATAACTATAGGCTGAGCAAGCGAATATATGCAAATATGTTGGTTTGCGTGACATCACAAAAACAATGAGGTCAAAACAGGCCATATATGGACTGTATGGGCTGGAGAGTGGACACTTTTCAAACATTTAATTTAAAAACCGTGAGGAAAATTCACTTTTTTTGATACGAGCCCTTTATTCGGTATAGAAACCATACATGGGGGTTCTTTAAACTTCAGATTGTTTACACTTGTACATGCACCGAAAGGTTCTATAGGGACTCAAAATGGGTTTTTCTAATTAATCATCCCCAAAGAACCTTTTCTAGAACCTTTATTCTTAAGATTATATTTGTAGACTATAGAAATCAGCAATAAAGTAATTAATAGTTTATAGATCAACAGGAAAAAGGTGTAATATATTGGTGTTGAATAGGAATGAACTGTGCATTAATGTTCACTCCCATTCAATGATTTACACTGCAAAAAATAATCTCTTGTCAAATGAAATGATCTTAAATCTAGTCAACATAAGTTTTACTTAATAAATTTTACTTAATAAAAATAATTTATTCAGTAAAATTATCTCACTATACTGGCAGATAATTTTCAAGCACATTTCTTCCTTATCTGCCATTATCTGAGATAATTTTACTTAATAAAATCACTTAGAACAAATAGAAAATGTCTAGAAATAAAGTAAATAATCTTAAATTAAGCTCACAACAATCTCAGCAGGAGAAATATTAGGTTTATCCCCTAAATTTAAGATAATTTCACTTGATAAGAATCCATTTTTTGCAGTGTAGCTTTGCTTAATTACAAGATTTGGGTTAAACTCTTACCCGGTCACAGTTGTGTCCACCTCATGCACCAGTGGGATGGACAGTTCCAAAGTGTTGTCATGTAGTTTGTGCTCTGGATTCGCGCTAAAGAAGCAACATTCAGTGTCAAACTTGCAGTAATATTCATAAATATCCTTTTACGAGTTATTTTAGTGAGTGACCGGCCTTTTGGCCTGTAAATCTACACAATAAAGCCACAGAGACGCCTCACAGTGCTTTACATTGTGCTTCTGCAGCCCACTGGCCTCTGTAGCGTTAGTATAAATGTATGTGCCTATATGTTATTTCAGTCTCTACTGTAAGACACTGAAAATGCATTAGTGGAGCTACAACAGCGCCTTCTCATTTACTGTGTAATACAGCTTTATGAGAAAAGAAAACACATCTGGACGGCATTAGTACAAAACTGAGACCATTCAGGTTCTCTTAAAGGGGCCAAATAGAGAATCCAGCTCATTAGGAACGAATATAAACATTACAGCGCTCAGTAAATGACGAGGGCCGTGTAAAGTCACTAAATAAGTTATATAAATTTATATTAGACCAATATAAACACTCACCTTCTGGCATGTACTAAAAATAGCAGCGTCTCGTTTTCACCAGACAGATGACTTGTGTCAAACAGCACGGACAGATGGTACTAAACGAGGAACAAACAAACGCACATATAAGAAAAAAGCCATGAGATCCTAACACTGCGCTCATATCTGTTCATATCAACACACTTTACACTGTAAAAATGATTCAGTCTTTTAGCTTTAAAAAGGAAGTAAACTTGCTGCCTTAAATTCAGTTCACTGAACTTCTAATAGTAACTTAACAGATCAATAATCTGTATTTTACATCCTGTAAACTTATTATTTGACCTCAGAATTTTAAGGCAACGACGTTACTTACTATTTTTAATTAAAACACAATAATTTTTACAGTGTACACTTCAAAGGTCAGTTGTTTTATTATTGAATTGTATTTTACATACAACATTTTAGATGTAAAGTTTATTAAATAGACATCAAAATGTATTTTTATGTATATTTTGCAATATTTCAAACATTATCCGGTATTAATTATTGTAATTTATACACAGACTGGCCACTTCATTAAGTCCATCTCCTTGTTTCTACACTCATTGTCCATCTTATCAGCTCCACTTACTATATAGGTGCACTTTGTAGTTCTACAGTTACAGACTGTAGTCCATCTGTTTCTCTGATACTTTGTTAGCCCCCTTTTACCCTGTTCTTCAGTGGTCAGGACCCCCATGGACCCTCACAGAGCAGGTACTATTTGGGTGGTGGGTCATTCTCAGCACTGCAGTAACACTGACGTGGTGGTGGTGTGTTAGTGTGTGTTGTGCTGGTCTGAGTGGATCAGACACAGCAGTGCTGCTGGAGTTTTTAAACACCTCAGTGTCGCTGCTGGACTGAGAATAGTCCACCAACCAAAAATATCCAGCCAACAGCGTCCTGTGGGCAGCGTCCTGTGACCACTGATGAAGGACTAGAGGATGACCAACACAAACTGTGCAGCAGCAGATGAGCTATCGTCTCTGACTTTACATCTACAAGGTGGACTGACAAGGTAGGAGTGTCTAATAGAGTGGACAGTGAGTGAGTCTTGCCGTGTCTATTCAATATATCTAATATTTCTCATTTAGAGCTGTGAGGATATTCAAAGATTATTTCACTTATTTTTAAACATTTTTACTTGTTTTTTTAAATGATCTCACTATATTGGCAGATAATGTTGCTGGTTTCTAACATATTTCTTACAACAATAAAAATTATCTGCAAATACAGAGAGATAATTTTACTTGATAAAATCAGTCAAAACGAGTAAAATTGTCTAGAAATAAGATAAATATCTTAATAATAAATAATAAGCTTACAACAACCTCAACATGAGAAACATTAGATGTCTCGATTAGACTGAAGATTTAAATTGCCAAGACATCATTTTCTCCAGTGTGTAAGCTGTTTTTATTTATTTGTCACACTGCAAAAATGGTCCTTGATCTTAAATATAGTCAGTAAATCTAATATTTCTCCTGGTGAGATTGTTGTAAGGTTAATTTAAAATTATTTAACTTATTTCTAGACATTTTTTACTTGTTTTAAGTGATTTTATTAAGTAAAATGATCTCTCTATAGTGACAGATAATTTTGCTTAATACAATGACCTAAAACAAGTACATAATAGATAATCTTACAGTAAGTGCACAACGAAAATGCAAAATATTAGATATTTTGACTAGATTTAAGATCATTTCACTTGACAAGAGACCATTTTTGCAGTGCAGTGCTGTTTTAACTTATTAAAAGCAGATTTTATCAATAATAAAAGTGTATTTTCTTTATTTTCTTGTAGTTTTTATGTTTAGTGTGTTTATTCATAAGCATGAATAAAAAAAAATAAAAAGTGCATCATTAGTGTGGACATTTATGTTTATTTTCTCTGTGTTTCTGTGTATAAGAAGTGTAAAACGCCCCTGAGTTTCAGTCTGGGTAAGAAAAATGACTAATTCGAGCCCTGGACGGGGTCAGAATTCAACAGAAACACTGAAGGCACCGAGGTAAACTAAGTAAACTAGTTCTTGGTGTCTGAGGTGACAGCAGGCTGAGTGCCCACCTTGGTCTGCGCTCTCATGAAAGGAAATCCCACGCTGCACTTGAGGAAGTCCAGCTGAACCAGCTCACAGGAAATGCCCTTCTCTTCCTGCAGGAGAAACAGACATGAGCGAAAGCAGAGACTGAACTACAGAACAGGATCTGAGCAGCGTCAGCGCTGAGCACAGCACTCCGAGCTACTGCGCTCGGCCTCAGTGAGCAATGACTCGAGGCTCTGACTGAGGCAGTGATGAGAAATGAAACTGCATGTTCTGTTGGACATCTGGAGAAAATGCAGCACTGTGCAGAAATTTAAGTTACACTCTAAAAAGTCACGGTTCTTCAAGGGTTCTTCAATTCAAATCAATCAAATCAAATCATGTTTATTTTCACATCACATTACACAGGTGCAAGGTGAGAGACAATTTTAGGTGCGTAGCCCCCTTGTAAAATTTATATATATATATATATATATATATATATATGAAGAAAACAGAAATTTGTATACATTGACTCTAAATATATACACATATCGCTGTTGTCGGAATAAAACCTTGTATCTCCAAAATGGTAACTTTTCAGGAGAAGGAAAAAACCTACTCTACTTTTAATGTAAGTCAATGGAACCAGACGTCTTTCCAAGTCATTTTAGGTCGTTTCTTTTAGTCCATTCATCATGAAATTCACACACAATGTAAAGGGTAACAGGCATTTTCAAATCACGTCAAAAACTGAAAAACTTAGAGATACAAGGTTTTCTTCCAACAACAGCGATTTTATATATATATATATATATATATATGTACACTAGTATTATATCTACAATGTACAGTTGTACAGTAATAAGGAATAAAACTATGAAATGTACTGTTGTACACATTTCCCTATGTGCAGTGAGTCTGAGGTAGATAATAACTGAGATGCAGGTAAACAGAGGATGGAATACTGATACAGAATCTTCCAGATTATACAGGATGTGGACAGAAGATGTACAAGATGTCAGTCTATATGTGTAAGTATAGATTTGCTAGATTGAAGGTGCAGTGAGATCAGAGTAAGTTAAGGTGTGGATGAGGTGAAGATGAGGATGAGGTGAGGGTTCTTTAGTAAAGAACATGCTTCTATAGCACTCTTGAATACTAAAAAGGGTTCTATATAGCACCAAAAAATGTTCTTCTAATGTTCAACGTCAAGCTTGTTACAATACAAGAACCCTTATAAGGTGCTATATAGAACGATTTCATAAACATTCTATACAGAACCATCTACAGCACATTCTCCATCAATCTGAAGAACGCTTTCATGATTTAACCATGAAAAGGGTTCTTGAAGTGTTCATGGTGCTATAGAATCATGTTCTTTACTAAAGAACCCCTGAAGAACCATCTTTTTTAAGAGTGCACCTGAAAAAATATCACAATATGTCTTTTTTTGTATTTTTATTAACTTCAATATAATCACAGCATAAAAATCATTTAAGCCCTTGTTTGTGAGGGAAGGTGCTCCGTGTGTAGAAAGCTACATAAAAAAGGAAAGAGAAAAGGAAAGAGAAAAGGAAAGAAAGAAAGAAAGAAAGAAAGAAAGACAGAAAGAAAGAAAGAAAGAAAGAATAAAGGAAGTTCTGCTTCAGGCCTTTACAGAACTGAGTGAAGCCATACAGTTTATTAGCCTGTTAATATTCACTTCATATTGCAGGAAAATGTGAGACTACGAGGTGACCGATTATTTTTGTGCTGGCTGTCGTAACATTTGAATCGTCCAGTTTAAAATCTATTACGATTCACTATCGTCAGTCAGCTCGATCCCACAAATCCAGCAGTGCAGTCACTCTTAAACTTCAGACCTGCAGGCAATCGTGATATAAAACTAGAGCTATGAACTCACGAACTGCTCTTCATAACATTCAAACACAGCAGAACATGAACGAAAACACAGCACTCGCGCTCCTCTGCAGACGTGCTCACACGGCCGCACGCACACGGAACGCAGACACGTAAGTGTGCATATGCAAAAAATGGACAGTAACCTGCAGACGGCGTGTTTGGAAGCTTGTCCAAACACGGCGTAACTTCTCCGGCTGGACTGTGTAAACAGCAGGGCCCTGACCCTTGCAGGAGTGAGCATTCCTGGAGTGAGAGTTCATGGATCTGGCCCTGTGTGCATGTGTGGGGGGAGTGGGGGGGGCGGAGGAAAGCTGAGAGCCATCAGCGCTCTGACAACAGAGCTGATAAAACAGACGAGCTGGCGCTCGGGGAACGCCGCGCTGGGGAAGGAGCTCCACGTGAGGCTCGAGCCGTACGCGCTTTCCTCTTCCCCAGTTTACACTGCAGCTATTCTTAGCCCGGCTGTGGAAATAACAGGAGAAACAAGAGCAGAGCTGCAGGAAAATATATCAATAAATAGTCTGAGGAAGATAAAGGGGCGGTGGAGCTCTGCGTGTTTATGAAACATGTATTCCTCGCAGTTGGCGGCGCTTTAGGAAGGACACGGCCTCCTCGGCTCAGTATATTTGACTTGGTCTGCATGTTTGCTCTGACACTCTTGCTTCCTCGCTGCTTTGCTGTGGATCGTTCGGCTCCCTCAGGGCTTTTTCCAAGGTCAGTCCCAAGTGGACGAATGTCATACACCTTCACTGAATCAGCCTGACCCCCTAAACCTGACCTGCTCCCACTGACCTGACCTGTGAATCACAGCATTCGTCCCAAACTGAGCTCTTTACAGGGATGGGTTCTTGTTATGTGACCACCTAGTGACCACCTAGTAAAATCAATCTGTTACATGTCTTGTTTGTCGCAGTTAGAAAAAAGGTATGGAAAAAAGTATCGGGATCAAATCTAAGGTATCGGATCAGCACCAGTGTTGAAATTTTGAAACAACACCCAGGTTTACTGGTGCTCCAACAAAAAAAGTGATAGGTCGCTGGTAAACACACTGCAAGAACTGGTGAAATGATCCTAAATTTAGACAAAATATCTAATATTTCTCATTTTAAGATTGCTGTAAGCTTATTACAAGATATGACTTATTTCTAGACATTTTTTACTTGTTTTAATGATCTTAGTAAGTCAAATGATCTCACTATATTGGCAGATAATTTCGCTGCTTTCAAGCGGATTCTAACAGCAAGCAAAATTATTTGTCAATTTAGTGAGATCATCTAACTTACTAAAATCACTAAAACTAGTACAAATTGTTGCCAAAACATGTATATATCATTCAGCATTAATGGAGCCTTCACAGATGTGCACTTCACCCAGGCCATGTGCACTAATGCCCCCCTATACCATCATGAATACTGGCTTTTCAACTGTGCACTGATAACAAGCTGAGTGGTCTTTAGCCCGGAGGACACAGTGTCCATGATTTCCAAAAAGAATTTCAAATGTTGATTCATCAGACCACAGGACACTTTTCCACTTCACCTCAGTCCATTTTAAATAAGCTCGGGCCCAGAGAAGGTGGCAGCATTTCTGGATCCTGTTTATTTATGTTTTCGTCTTTGCATTTTAGAGTTTTGACTTGCATTAGTGATGAACTGTTTTCACAGACAGTGGTTTTCAGAAGTGTTTCTGAGCCCATGCAGTGATTTCCACTACAGAATCATGTCTGTTTTTAATGCAGTGCTGCCTGAGGGCCCAAAGATCACGGCCAGCAAATACTGGTTTTTGGCCTCGTCCCTTACATACAGAGATTTCTCCAGATTCTCTGAGTCTTTAATGTTATTAAGTACCGTAGATGATGAAAAGTAAAAGTTCTTTACTATTTTATGTTGAGAAACGTTATTCTTGAATTGTTGCTCTATTTGATGGTGCAGTCTTTCACAGAGTGGTGAACCCCTCCTCATCTTTACTTCTGAAAGACTCCGCCTCTCTGAGATGCTCTTTTATACCCAATCATGTTACTGACCTGTTGCCAAATAACCTCCAGCTTATTTTTTAGCATTACACAACTTTACCAGTCTTTTGTTCCCCCGTCCCAACTTTTTTGGAACGTGTTGTTGGCATCAAATTCAAAATGGGCAAATATTTTTCAAAAAACAATACAATTTCTCAGTTTCAACATTTGATATGTTGTCTTTGTACTATTTTCAATTAAATATAGGGTTTAAATGATTTACACATCATTGCATTTTGTTTTTATTTACATTTTGCACAGCGTCCCAACTTTTTTGGAAATGGGGTTGTAGATATATCAACTAAATTTAAGATACTTTCACTTGACAGGATATCAGTTTTTGCAGTGCGTGTAATAACATCTCATTTAATCATAATAAATGCTTCAAACTTAATTAAATTAAGATGAGAAGCGACAATCGTTTATTCCAAAAGCCTCATTATTGCTATCAGCTTGCTAATGGTGCTCAGCTAACATTAGGCTGTAATCAAAAAATAACATTTAACTAATAACATTATTAGTCTTTTACTTCTTAAGCACCTAATTTGCCACAGACAAAAGAAACAGACGCTCAGCTCTATTTCTGTTTTGATTTGTCTGCTGCTGTGAATTTTTCATTTTTGATTAATCGACTGCCCTTGTTTTTGTTTGTGTTTTGATTCCTCAATCACAGAACGACTTTGAATGACTCTGAGTGCTTTGATTGACTACTCTCTGTCTCCTCAGCCTCTCTTGGAAGAGTCTAATCCTTCAGCGACTGCACTTCCCCTCCACCTCCTGCAACGAAGGGAAGGAAAATATGACCTCTAGCTCTAATTAAAGCCCTGCAGTGGCCCTGAGCAGACCCACAGAGCCGCTATGGAGCTTCTGGGGTGGCTCCAGCTAAGCACGCGGTTAGGGTTGCAAGAAAAACAGAGAGACAATAGAGCCCAGTATAAAAGAAGAGGAGCGCGAGAGTTCACACGTGGCCCTGCAGAGGGGGGGAAAGCCCCCGAGGGAGACCCTCAGGCCCGACCTCCGCTGTGTGAGAAGGTTCATATCAACACTGCTGACTCTGAGCCGACCTGGAGTCATTAGAGGGTCTTACTGCACCTACAGTAACACAGCAAACACAGTGCTGACTCAAACACCCGGTCTCAGCATCGATGCCTCACCAGCTTCTGGATGGGTCAGACTTTCTACAACAGGAGTCTCAAACTCAAATTATCTGGGGGCCAATAGTCAGGTGGTCTTCTACAAGGAGGGCTCAATAAAAAATACAGAAAAAACTACATAAAGTTTTTGTCTAACGTTTTAACTAAAATATCAAAATTTTATGAAAAGTATGAATTTTAACTACATAATATGTACCTTTTCTGTTAAAACTGATGGAAGCTTCATTACTGAGTGAGGAGAACATAAACAGGCTGAAATATGCTGAGTGTTCTGCTGTGAGTCGCCTGTAAAGCCTGAAATAAACATTTAAAAGTCAGAGGCGTCGAGTTTTTCACACCACGTCGTACGTCTTTACGTATTAACGTCACACACAGACTCTAAAAGAAGGTCCGGCTCGATGTTTCAGACTCAAATGATCTGAAAATCAGCATCATACTGATGAAGATGTGATGACTATAGTAGATAATTCACTCACATCCTCAGAGACGCTCCTTCACCCCGTTTAGACTGAGTTCTTCTGCACACTGTGTGCAGTTACACATTTCTACCAGAGAGGTCTCCAAATCTCCAAATCTTACACAGAGCAGCTTTAAGAGCATCTTAGTCAATGTTTATAAGCAATTCCTCTGTCACCACAAACTACTACAACAATTATTATTATTAGTAGTAGTAGGAGACTTAAAAAAGCTGGTTCTTCAAGGGTTCTTTGGTAAAGACGGTGGTTCTGACACATGAACACCCTTCACATGCTTAAATGGTTCTTTGCATTGTGAAATGTTTCTTCAGACTGATGGAGAATGTGCTGTATTTGGTTCTATACGGCACCAAAAAGGGTTCTTCTACTGTTACAAACTTGACATTGTAATAACAGCAGAACCCTTTTTCGTGCTACATAGAAATATTTTCAAAAAGATTCTGAATAGAACCACATCTAGCACATTCTCCATCAGTCTAACTAACCATTTCACCAAGCAAAGAACCATTTAAGCATTAAATGGTTGTTTGAGTGTTCATGGTTCTATACAGACCCAGTCTTTACTAAAGAACCCTTAAAAATCCTCTTTTAAGAGTGTCCTAGTAGAAACACACGTGTAGTTTAATAAATATTGTAGTGTTCAGTTAAACTTACATTTAACAGTTGAATTATGAGACTCTTATTATGAAAGCATAATAGTGAAGTTACAGTGAGTGTTGGTAAAGTAAAGCTGTTAATTGTTTGTTCTCAGTGGATTATTTTAATAAATCCATTCATTTCTTAATTGTTCTGCTCTGAATCTCCTGCTGAGTCCTGAATGAATCAGGTTTAACTGACTATCAGTCTAAATCAGAATAACAGCTGAGTCAGTCGGAGCTGAACTACAGTCAGTGTTCAGCGTTTGTGCTGCGTCAGGTTGGAGTCTGAATGGTTCCTCTTGTATCCAGCGCTTTGTTTCTGCTTTAACACTGATTTTACAAAGCTTACGTTGTGGAACCAAGTCAATTCCTACCCACTGACAGTGGTGGACAGTAACGAAGTACATGTAATCTGTTACTGTACTTTAGCAGTTTTTTCCTGTATCTGTACTTTACTGAAGTTTTTCCATTTTGGGCGATTTTTTCCTTTCACTCCACTACATTTCAAAGTCAAATATCTCACTTTTTACTCCACTACATTATGAGAAATCTGTCATTCCTTTTGGTTTGTGTGTGAATAAAAACGTTACGTCAAAAAGAAAGAAGCGCAAAGCAAGAACACCAATCAGGGCACAGCGGTCACTTTGTTTTGAGCTTGTTTTGACCTGTTGGTCATACCGACCCAGTGCAGCACACGGTTCAACATCAGTGCAGCAGTGTAAAATTCTGGGAGAGTCTATTCAACATAAATGATGAACTAACCTAACTTTGTGTAAACAGACCACAATATAGAAATATGTACACATATGCAGTTGAGACTGACGTGTCTTTATTCTGAATTTATACAAACAATATTTCATTTTATAGTAAATTAGTTTTGGCTAGTTTATGTTTATGAACAGAGACCTACAGATGCAGTTTAGTAAAGGAAACTCATTTGTGAATCTGAGTTTTTATTAATCTTAAACTTGTAACTAAGTTGCAAATAAATCTTAAACTGAAACTTTGCTTGTTTGTAAAAAGTGATTTCAGAGCCACTCAGTTCTACCTGATGGAAACTGTTTGCCTTCAGCGTTTTGTGCTTATGATAATTTTAATAGACATCAGCGTCACTAATTGATGACTCTATTAAAAGACTGGTTTACCAAGAGAGACACTGGAGTATTTTCACCTAAAATGAGTTAATGAAGAGAGTCTTGTTATAAAAATGATAATAGGACATCAGAGCCATAATTAATCTTTTAGTGCTTTTACTTTTGATACTTAAGTGCATTTGAAGATGAATCCTTTAGTACTTTTACTCCAGTGGAGGTCTAAAGGGAGGAACTTCTACTTTTACTGGAGTAATATTTTACCTTGGGTGTCTCTACTTTAACTCAAGTACATGGTTTGTGTACTTCGTCCACCACTGCTGTCCTGCTCTACGACAACCATACGAGCCCTGCTTTGTGGATTGTGACTGCAGGAGCAGATAATGAAATTATCCAATGAAATTCAGCACAGTGCAATTCTTTAATAATGAACTGAAGAAACAAATGACTTTAGGAAGAGAACAGCAACAAACTCTCCTGGTAATCCATGAACACCAGATGTGTCGAGGTTTTCATGCTAAATTAAATTTCTCTCTCTTCATCCGGTTGAAGAGGTAAACGTGTTCTACATTCCTCCCTAAAGCCGCTGAGCAGCTTGGCAGATAAGGCCAATCTGAGTTGACTGACACTGGATATCCTACACAGAGACTATCTCAGTCCTATGTTTCTGTTTCCTCTGTGAAGGGAAGTCTACACATTGTTGGATTGTGAGTAAGACCGGTCTGGTCAGTGTCTCAGCAGGGTTACTTCACAACCCGTCCAATCAAACAGGAGGAAATGTTCTTACTCATGCTGCTGATAGTGGCAGAATGCAATCTGGCAGAGAGCGAAAAAACAACTTTTGGAACCTGCAGCAGGCACTCAGGTCAGCTTTTTAGAGATGCTACAGGGAGATTCACTCGAAAGAGGCCCCGAATATTCTGTAATAACTCTCTCTAGGACAAAGCAATCTGAACGAAACAACGTGCAATGAGCTCCTCAGTATATGGAGCTTCAAACAAGCCAGGATCCACCTGTGTCGGAGTGATGAGGGAGGCGCTGGACAGCCATCGCCATGTTTAACCTCCGCTTGCAACTTCTGGGTGATATTTAACGTTTGTGTTTCTCCATTCAAACGTCATTTAAATCAGAAACAGAGAGTAAAGTTATCACGGCTGTCTGCAGCTCCGCTAGGGGGCGACTGTTTACCTCTCTCTGTTAACATCAGCTAAAGTTATCTAAAGACTAGCACTGATCTCATCTGTGTTAATTAGCTGATGTCGTTACTCTTCTATGATGACAAAGATTTTTTTTTCTCCTCTTTAAGAAACACCATGGGATCCTTTACCCACCCTGACGTGAAGAGTCGTGGGCTTCTGTGCTGTTAAATGCTCTGAGAGACTCCAGAATAGGGAGAGGGGCTGAGTATGAGACAAATATAAATGTCAGGAAAACACAAATTTGGTGTCTTTCCGGCAGTTTGAGTGGGACCAGGGGTTCAGGGGAAACACGTTTTTCTCTTCCAAAGTAAGTAGAGTAACTTTAGCTGTCTTTCACCTCTAGTTATGTTCGTGTGGACCGAAGCCAGAAATTCGGTCCCAAACACGGCGGCCACAACAGAAAAAACTAAAACTCTAGGATAATGAGACAATTTTACTTACTACAGTTACTCAAAACAAGTAAAAAAATGTCTGGAAACAAGACTAAACTAAATCCCATACGATGGAGTTTTTATCTCAAGATAGATCTATTGCATATTTTTGTATATTTTTAGTTGTATATCTGCCTGTAGATAGTTTTTTGTATATATTCTTTTTATACTGTATTACCTCTCTCTCTCTCTCTCTCTCCCTCTCTCTCTCCCTCTCTCCCTCTCTCTCTCTCTCTCTCTCTCTCCCTCTCTCTCTCTCTCTCTCTCTCTCTCTATCTTTCTTCAAGGCTGTGATGTAGATTCTGTGAAGGGTTTTATATTTTATTGACTGGAGTTCTGAATTGCTAGTCATAGTGAAGATGTCATTACATATATTTAGCCAGTTGAGCCTGTATGTTTCTTTTAAATCCGAGGTCTGTTCTTCAACTGGGATTGAAACAGTGTTTTCCTTTGACCCTATGAGTTTATATGTTTGAGATATTTTCTGAGGTTTAAGGCAGTGTGGTCTTAGGCAGAGGGGGGCAGTGTGATTACAAAGTCTTCTGCTATTAACAGTTTCCTTTAGAACATTGTGGAGTTGTATATACTTAAAGGGACAGTTGTCTGGTAGGTTGTATTTTCCTTGATGTCGTCGAAGGGCCACCAGAGAATAACTGTGCCAGATCCAGTTCAACCCACATCAGTGACTCTGTAGCCCCTCCTGTTTCCTGCACTTCCTCTACTGTGTTTTTTCTGCTGCTTTCACAAAACATGTCAAACCTTTGCTTTTTGACCAGATACCAGATAACAAACCAACAGAACACTATCCGTATGTGTGCGTCCGTCACTCACCCTCTGCAGGAAGTTGATGTAATGAACCTCCCTGGAGAAATTTAGGTAGATGTTGGTGTCGTAAGCGTCATCTCCAGCGTTTGAGATGGTTAAGTTCAGGGAGACGTTCTTCACTCCTCCCAGAGCGAGATGAGGCCTGACGTGATGTCTGGATGGAAAAGACGATGAGGAAAGAAAGTGGGAGCAAATTAAATCAATTATCTTTTATTCTTCTTCTAGTTATTCCGGTGAGTTTAAGGGCTCAACAGACTAAACAGGAGCCTACAGTCGTGTGCAAAGGTTTGTGCACCCCTTGTCAAATTACATTTTGTTGATTAATACACAATTACTGTTTATACACGGAATTTAACGAACTGGAAAATAAAACAGTGGCTTGGGTTATACAAAACCTTATCACCATGATGGACTAACAGCATAATTAAGTGGTTGAGATGTAAACAGAGTCTTTCAGAGTGGTTTGGTGCGAAACGCTCCGTTCTAGAGAAACACAGTGGTGGTGATAGGAACCAGACGTCCACCTCTAAAAGCTCCCTCACAGAAAGTTCCTACATGAAATGGTTATGAATTCACTGCCTGATGACTGAGACACTGTTTTATGATAGTTTAGAGAACTTAAACTCCATTCATGGTGGAGGGATACATAATATGCAGGGTGTTGTGAGGCAAAATAGTCCCCAAAAAAAACTTATTATTTCAGATTTTCCACTATTTTCCATCATCAACATTCCATATAAACTCAGAAGACTCGTGTAGGTTCACTGGTGGTTCTGGATAGTAAATAAAATGTCTATATTTGTGTTGTAGTCGTGGCGACCCCTGGTTCCTATCACCACCACTGTAAAGACATCTGAACCATTTCACACCAAACCACTCTGAATCTCTCTGTTTACACCTCAAGGACTGAATCATTCAGAAATTTTGATATTTGATTGATAGAAACTCTTTATATTCTTTTTTTATTTCTCTCTCTCTCTCTCTCTCTCTCTCTCTCTCTATATATATATATATATATATATATATATATATATATATATATATATATATATATAATCGCTGCTGTCGGACCAAAAAAGAAATGGCCCAAAATTATTTGGGAAAAAAGTCTGGTTCCATTGACTTACATTAAAAGTGAAGTATGTGTTTTCCTTCTCCTGTAAAGTTACCATTTTGGAGATACGAGGTTTTGATCGTTTTGATGCGATATGTATACATACACATTACACATCACACCTACAGGAGCTTTTATGACTCCCATTCTAAATCCATAGGCATTAATATGGAGTTGGTCCCTCTTTGCAGCTCTAACAGCTTCCACTCTTCTGGGAAGCTTCTACAAGATTTTGGAGAGTGTCTGTGGGAATTTGTGTCCATTGATCCAGAAGGTGAGGTCAGACACTGATGTTGGACGAGAGGGCCTCGACTGCAATCTTGCTCACTGGGGTTTGGACTCGGATTATCTGCTGCTGTAAAGCATGTTGTAAAATATAAAGCTGCCCTGTAAATAAATCTTGAGTTGACTTTTACAGATCTCGCTCCAAAATGCTCACCGCTGTCACGGTTTGCAGAGCAGGTAACTGATGACTACTTGGTGTTTAGCTAGTCTTGTGGGGCCAGAGGTGATTTGTGTTGAGAGAACACTTTCAGGGACAGCTTGTTAAAGTTTTGGTGTTGGATTGCAGTGAAATACACCCCGTCTAAACCGCGGCCCAGTCCAACTGTTTTCGGCCTGTGGGCTGCGGCCCAGTGGACCGGTGGTGCTGCAAAACTTCATCATAATATAAAGATTTAATCAAGCTAATGACTTTAAACGTGACAGTTATTACTGTTGTGATAGCGGTCTACAGTCTCATCCACTTTCAGCCCAAAATTTTTAATGGTTGTTTCCAGATGTTCTCATTACAACATCACATCTGGCCCAGCATGGCCAGCATTTAGCTCGATAAACAGAAGTTTGTTTTCTGATTTCGATTTAAAAACATTTAATTGTTCTGTTCTACGCTCGGCTGATAAAATGGGAGGTGTGAATACCCACTGAGAAGAACTTTGAGGCTGTGGCCATCTTATAAGGGTTCCTCAAGGGTTATTTAGTAAAGGGAATGGTTCTATGAGATTTATATAGAACCATTTCATGCTTAAATGGTCCTTTGCATGGCGAAATGGTTCTTCGGACTGAAGAAAATTGTTCTATATAGCACCAAAAAGGGTTCTGCTACTGTACAGTAAAGAAAATGGTTCTACATACAACCAGGATCACTCCAAGAACCATTTGCATGACTAAAGGGTTCTCTGCATCATGAAACGGTTCTTCAGATTGATGGAGAATGTGCTGTAGATGGTTCTATGCGGATCTTTTTTGAAAAGGGCTCTATATAGCACCAAAAAGGGTTCTGCTACTGTAACAATGTTAAGCCTGTAACAATAGAAAAACCCTTTTTGGTGCTGTATACACACTTGGCTCTTCAAGGGTTCTTCAGTAAAGAAAATAGTTCTATATAGAACCATGAACACTCAACCCTTTGCATAATTAAAGGGTTATTTGCATCATGAAATTGTTCTTCAGGTGGATGGAGAATGTGCTGTAGATGGTTCTATGTAGACATTTTTAAAAGGGTTCTATGCAGCATCAAAAGGGTTTTTCTATTGCTACAAGCTTGACATCGCTTGACATTTGTTTCTATATAGAACCACATACAACACACTCTCTATCAATCAGAAGAACCGTTTCATGATGCAAAGAACCCTTTAATCATGCAAAGATTTCTTATAGTGTTCGTGGTTCTATATAGAACCATTTTCTTTACTGAAGAACCCTTGAAGAGCCAAGTGTGTATACAGCACCAAAAAGGGTTCTTCTATTGTTACAGGCTTAACATTGTTATAGTAGCAGAACCCTTTTTGGTGCTATATAGAGCCCTTTTCAAAAAAGTTCCACATAGAACCATCTACAGCACATTCTCCATCAGTCTGAAGAACTGTTTCATGATGCAAAGAACCCTTTAATCATGCAAATGGTTCTATACAGAACTCACGGTTCTAAACATAACCACTACCCTTACTAAAGAACCCTTGAAGAACCATCTTTTTAAGGTTGTGGCCCAAAACATGCATCAGTAACTCTGTGATTAAGCGTGCGAGGCTGAGATTGGCTAAAATAAACATAAATGCTATGGTTCTGTATAGAACCATGAACACTCAACCCTTTGCATAATTAAAGGGTTCTTTGCATCATGAAATTGTTCTTCAGGTGGATGGAGAATGTGCTGTAGATGGTTCTATGTAGACATTTTTAAAAGGGTTCTATGCAGCATCAAAAGAGTTTTTCTATTGCTACAAGCTTGACATCGCTTGACATTTGTTTCTGTATAGAACCACATACAACACACTCTCTATCAGTCTGTGGAACCGTTTCATGATGCAAAGAACCCTTTAATCATGCAAATGGTTCTATACAGAACTCATGGTTCTAAACATAACCTCTCCCTTTACTAAAGAACCCTTGAAGAACCATCACTTTAAGAGTGTGGCTCAAAACATGCAGCAGTAATTCTGATTAAGCGTGTGAGGCTGAGATTGGCTAAAATAAACATGAATACTATTCTAAATGACTGGTTAGTAGAACCGAGCGGTTGTGAACTCCTGCGCCTGCGGAACAGCAGCCTCTCTCTCTGAACCACGAACAGGTGAAGTCCATCAGCCGCAGCGACGTTTAAACAACGCGATGTGGAGATGAGTGAGCGGGTGTAAGCTGCATATGACTTCAAATCTTTAACAAGCCAAACTCCTTAAAAAGACCTCCTTAAAAGAGGGGAGATGGATGGGATCCACAGCTGGTGAGAGCCAAGCATGTGTCAGGGCTCCAGCGTCCACACCCACATCGCCTCAACCTTCATGACGTCAATGTACAGCAATGGGTCAGCGGGCAGCGGCCAAGTACAATGAGAGCGAGTGGGCAGGGAGCGGAAGAACGGACGGAGGGCTTTACCCAGATAGAAGCAGCTTCCCATTCAGCCTCAGGTCAGCAGCGCAGTCGTCCGACAGACAGTTCTTCTCAAACCACGTCTGTGAAGAGACAGACACAGTACAGGATGTTTACACAACTTAAATGTCAGTGTGACGAGAGCATACTAGAGGGCGCTGTTGTGCAAGAGTTTAGACGCTGTGGTTGGACTGTGCATGAAACATTTCACTGATCAGGGAGGAGCACAGCCCTCGCCTTTAAAACAGAATTAATTCAAAGTCATTTTTAAAAACAAATATTTCTGCATCGTTAAATAGTCAACACAGAGCGGTTTGGAGTGAAATGATCCTAATCAGAACTGTTCACAGTGGTGGTGATAGGAACCAGACGTCCACCTCTAAAAGCTCCCTCACAGAAAGTTCCTACATGAAATGGTTATGAATTCACTGCCTGATGACTGAGACACTGTTTTATGATAGTTTTGGCCTGAAATGTTTTGATTTTAAAATCCATTCACGGTGGAGGGATACATGCAGGGTGTTCTGAGGCAAAATAGTCCCTAAAGAAAAGGTTTTTTTTCTTTGTTTAAAGATTTTCCACTATTTTACCATCATCAGCATCACATATAAAACTTGTGGGGTAGGTGCACTTACAGTTTTGGATAGTAAGAAAAATAGAAAAGTGTTTGTGCAGCTCAAACAGTCCGTAGGCGGTTGCTAAGGTGTTGCCAACTGGTTTCTATGGTATCCCAGGTGGTTGCTAGGATGTTGTCAAATGGTTTCTATGGTATCCCAGGCGGTTGCTAAGGTGTTGCCAAATGTTTACTATGGCATCCCAGGCAGTTGCTAAGGTGTTGCCAACTGGTTTCTATGGTATCCCAGGTGGTTGCTAGGATGTTGTCAAATGGTTTCTATGGTATCCCAGGCGGTTGCTAAGGTGTTGCCAAATGGTTACTATGGCATCCCAGGCAGTTGCAAAGGTGTTGCCAAATGGTTTCTATGGTATCCCAGGCAGTTGCTAAGGTGTTGCCAAATGGCTTCTATGGTATCCCAGGCAGTTGCTAAGGTGTTGCCAAATGGTTTCTATGGTATCCCAGGCAGTTGCTAAGGTGTTGCCAAATGGTTTCTATGGTATCCCAGGCGGTTGCTAAGGTGTTGATAAGTGGCTGCTATGGTATCCCATGTAGTTTGCAAGGCTGTTGCTAGGAGGTTGTCAAGTGGTTGCTGTGATATCCCAGATGGTTGCTAAGGTCTTGCTAGGTGGTTGCTGCGGTGTTCCAGGTGGTTGCTAGGGTGTTGACTCCAAAACAATGCTATCTTAGCCAGTGAAAACATCTTAAATGTAGTCAAAATATCTGGTATTTCTCATTATGTGATTGTTGTTTATACATTCTAAGATTATTTAAGCTGTTTCTTGGCATTTCCTTACTGGTTTTAATTTCATTTCACTGGTGAAAGTGTCTTATTATTCCACTGGTGGAACCTTTTTACTTGTTTCAAACATTATTTCTTGAAATAAGCAGTAAGTTATCGTTAACTACTATTATTTCTCAAATCCAGTAAAATGATCTGCGACTGAAATAAAAGACTTTTACCAGATAACATGACTTAAAACAAGTGTTTAGAAATACATTCAATAATCCTATTATATGCTTGCAATAATCTCATAATGAGAAACTAAACTAGATTTAAGATTTTTTTTTAACTTGAAAAATTGCAATCTTTGAAGTGTTGCTGGCCTACTTGTATTATCATAATATAAGCTAGGTGCACAAACCTTTGCCCACACTGTTCAATCCTATTGAAAAAAAAATGTCATTTAAAACAACCAATCAAAAATAAGAAATTCGAACAGTGTTGATATGTTGAAAACTGCAGGCTGGGTTAGAGGACAAAAGCACGAAGGCACAAGAAGACGAAGAATATACTATCAGGTAACAACAGTATTGGGCATTGATGATTGCTGACCATTGATAACCACACTCCACTGTAGTCATGGCGACCCCTGGTTCCTATCACCACCACTGTAAAGAAATCTGAACCAATTTCCATCAAACCACTCTGAATCACTCTGAATCACTCTGAATCACTCTGATTACACCTCACACACTGAATTCTGCTGTTTTTTTATAATCAGTGTAATTCCCTCTTTCAGGTACTTGTAAACGTCTTCCAACTACAATTACAATCAGCTAGAATGTTTTTGTTGGAAACGTTCTGAATTGGACACCTCTGTAGTTTCAAACTGTGCATGTTGAGATATATAGGCTGCTAACAGGTTTAAATTCCATGCTAATGGATTCCTGACGTGCCGAAAGATGCTGCTTCCAGGTTTTTGTAAGCAGAGGAGGGCAGCACATCTGAGATAACACGAGGCTGGGAAGTGAGATGGGCTCTGCACAAATAAATTCATCAGCCATCCACATTCCACTTCAGGAAAGTCAACACTCATTATCGTAACCTAAACCGCACACGGATCTGCAGGAAACGGCAGCTTTCTTGCACGCTGGTGTCAGAGCATGCAGTCAGACACACTCCTCTCAAACACGCCGAAGAGGCTTTCACTGAACACACGTTACTGAGAGCCGGTTATGTTCCTGCATTACTAACAGCGCTCATACAGCGATCGGGCATAACGTTATGACCACCTCCTTGTTTCTACGCTCATTGTCCATTTTATCAGCTCCACTTACTATATAGGTGCACTTTGTAGTTCTAGTGTTTGTGTGTGTTGCGCTGGTACGAGTGGATCAGACACAGCAGTGCTGCTGGAGTTTTTAAACACTGTGTCTACTCACTGTCCACTCTATTAGACACTCCTACCTTGTCGGTCCATCTTGTAGATGTAAAGTCAGAGACGATAGCTCATCTGCTGCTGCACAGTTTGTGTTGGTCATCCTCTAGTCCTTCATCAGTGGTCACAGGACGCTGCCCACAGGACGCTGTTGGCTGGATATTTTTGGTTGGTGGACTATTCTCAGTCCAGCAGTGACACTGAGGTGTTTAAAATCTCCAGCAGCACTGCTGTGTCTGATCCACTCAGACCAGCACAACACACACTAACACACCACCACCACGTCAGTGTTACTGCAGTGCTGAGAATGATCCACCACCCAAATAGTACCTGCTCTGTGAGGGTCCATGGGGGTCCTGACCACTGAAGAACAGGGTAAAAGGGGGCTAACAAAGTATCAGAGAAACAGATGGACTACAGTCTGTAACTGTAGAACTACAAAGTGACCCTATATAGTAAGTGGAGCTGATAAAATGGACAATGAGTGTAGAAACAAGGAGGTGGTCAGAATGTTACGCCTGATCGGTGTATTTTGTAACACTTGGGTTTGACTTATTGCATCAGCCCTTGGATGGCCAGTGCAGTCTAACCTCATTCCTGGCTGCAATCTTCTCTCCCTTATTCCAGCGCAGGACGGGTGTGAGTGGAACGAGCTCCTGCTCGTGATGTCCGTCCAGCACGTGCTTGCCCAGGCTGTACACTGCCTCAAAGGTGATGGCTGCAAACACGTCCTTCACCTCTTTCTGTGGAAAAAGAACAAACAAATGCTTGTATTTAGTTATGCACGATGATGTCGGTATCATATCGGTATCTGCAGCTACATGCGCATTCTGTATCAGAGAGATGTTTAGAATGGAGTGATAATTCGAGACAATATTTGATGATGTATTTATTGAACCCCAGAAGATCAGAATGTTTAGGTGACGCTGGGTCACTGCACCAACAGACCTGCATTGTATTCATTTTGCTGCATTTGTAAGCTGTTGTTAGGCCATTGCTATGGTGTTGCAGGTGGTTGCTATGGTGTTTCTAGGCTGTTACTATCCTATCCCAGGTGGTTGGTATGGTGATACCATACAATACCGTTGCTATGGTATCCCAGAGGGTTGCTAACGTGTTGCTAGGCCATTGCTATTGTGTCACAGATTGTTGCTAAGATGTTTCTGGACTGTTACTATGCTATCCCAGGTGGTTGCTATGGTGAAACCATAACATACCATTGCTATGGTATCCTTGTGGTTGCTAATGTACTGCTAGGTAATTGCTATGGTATCCCAAGTGGTTGCTAAGGTGTTTATAGGCTGTTACTATGCTATCCCAGGTGGTTGCTATGGTGGTACCACACCATAACATTGCTATGGTATCCCAGGCGGCTGCTATGGTGATACCACACCATACCATTGCTATGGTATCCTTGTGGTTGCTAAGGTGTTGCTAGGTCATTGCTATGGTGTCACAGGTGGTTAATAGGTGTTGTTAAGCCATTGCTAGGGTATTCCAAATATTATATGCAATATGTATAATATTTAACCAAATATAGTATACAATATGTAACCAAATATTTTGGACTCTATATCACTATCATACAAGCATACAAGCAACACCTTAGCAACCACCTGGGATACCATAGCAATGGTATGGTATAGTGTGGCATTCCAGGTGCTCGCTATGGTGGTACCATAACATACAATTGCTATAGTATCCCAGGTGGTTGCTAAAGTATTGCTAGGCCATTGCTAATCTTCAGATTAATGGGGAATGTGCTGTAGATGGTTCTATATAGAACCTTTTTGAAAATGGTCCTATACACCACCCCAAAGGGTTCTTCTATTGTTATGATGTTAAGTTTGTAACAACAGAAGAACCCTTTTAGGTGCTATATAGATTTTCAAAAGGGTTTTGCATTTATAGCATATTTTCCATCAATCTTTTCATGATGCAAAGAACCATTTAAACAAGACAAGGGTTCTTTGAGTGTTCAGGGTTCTATACAGAACTGTTTTCTTTACTAAAGAGCCCTTGAAGAACCATCTTTTTTAAGAGTGTCTACAACAAGCTTGGCAACAATAATAGACAAGCTTGGCAACAATAATAGAATCCTTTTTGGTGCTATATAGAACCATCTTTTTTAAGAGTGTAGGCCACTGGCCACTCCATTACAAACAAAACCCTATTAAAATATCAACTAGGCATCCAGTTACAAAAACAGACAGACCCACTGCAGGAACTGTTCAATCAACTGTAACTTTCAATGGGGCTCAGAGTGAATCACCCACTTCATGCTTTTCAAGTTCCTCTATTCGCCGAGCCAGAGCCAGATCTCTAACAGACCTTACAGTGGTCGCTATACATCAGTGACTCTGTTTCCACAGGTTAAAACGTTTTGCATCTGGAGAAAAGTCTAGTAAATTTGTCGGTAATACTCCACTCTCTGCTGGCGTCCAGCGAGCTGTATGGCATTAAAGCCGGCCACCGAGGGCCGTCAAAAGGACAGCTGGAAAAAGGTGGCTGGCAGCATCTCTCCCGTCACATTTCATCATCCCTCAGTCTGGCAATGCGAGCTGAATCCAGCGAAGGAGAGTTTCTCTTGGCACGCGACTTGGAAACACTCAAAACAAAATGCTGAATCGGATCAAACCCCCCGTTCGTTAAGGGATACGAGCGGCGGGAAAAGCAGCCTGTTAAACAGCGCTTTGAAGAGACCTGCTGGGATCAGCTTTCATCTCATTGTCTTTTGCCACAAGGATAAAAAGGCAAACTGCCCCATCAGCTTAGTGTCACTGGGGTCTGCCAGTGCCCAGTCGAGCCCCTTGTGTAAACACAGGTCCTTTCCGGTTGCTGCCATTCGTCTTCCTTGTTCTGCTCTCTTTCTGTTCGAGTTTTATCGCCTGCTCTTCCTCAAAACACCCACCCATCCCTTTCCTCAGCTGCCCGAACACAGACATATCAGGACACACCAGATACGAGGCCTACAGACCTCCGACAACCTGCACGCTGACAGAGTTACGGCAGGAAAGAGATGTTTGGTGACTGTCTGAAATGAACCTGGCAAAACTGAGCTTTAAGATTTACTGTAACACTAAAAATACTTTACCTGAGCGATCAGTTTCAGTACGAACAGTGACTGAAAAAGACTCTGAAAGGAAAAACTGCTGCGACTTCTTCACTTCTGAACTCTTTTTCAGACACTGTGATTTGTGATAGAGCGCCATCAATATATGTGTTCACCGATAGTATCAGCCGTTACTGAGGTATTGTGGATTTATCGCTATCGGCACAGAGAGCTGTGACAAGCAGACACTTCTGAAGTGTAACACGTCACTTATGGCCATATTAAACTATACTGGCCGATATCAGAACATTTAGCTCCTTCACTTTTTCTCACAGCAGCCACACAATGCGATTTCACAAAAATACAGAGATGGTTCTTCAAGGGGTCTTTAGTAAAGAAAAAGGTTCTATAAAGAACCATGAACACTCAAAGAACCCTTTGAATGATTAAAGGGTTCTTCCTATCATGAATGGATTCTTCAGAATGTTTTGTTTAAGGTTCTATATAAAACCTTTTGGTAAAGGGTTCTCTATAGCACCCAAAAGGGTTCTTCTATTGTTACGATGTCAAGCTTGTAACAATAGAAGAACCCTTTTGGGTGCTATATAGAGCCCTTTTTAAAAGGTTGTATACAGAACTATCAGTACATTCTCCATCAATCGATCTGAAGAACCGTTTCATAATGGCAAAGAACTTTTTAATCTTGCAAATACTAAAGAACCCTTGAAGAACCATCTTTTTAAAGAGTGTAGTATAGTTATATTATTTGTTATTGTGTCACCCGGAAAATTAACATTTTATTCATGGGTAATTAGAGTTTGTTACCATTAATGTTTACATTTAATTATCACTTGTTGCGACTACAGTTACTTATAATTAACTAACTCATTATTTCTTCACAACTGGAAAATTATCATGCAATTTTTAGGTTTGTACAACTTCCCTTTGTTTTTACTGGAATATTACTATAATTTTTATGTTCTTGTTAATTGCATTTTTATTATTATTTTTATTTATACTTTTATCCTGTGCTTTTTATTTGTATTTATTAATATATCCATTTTCTGCTATTTATTGTTTGTTTATTATATTTTGTTTTTATTCTTGATTATCTTTTTTTTCTCTTCTTCCTCTGTTGTTTTATACTTTTTTATTGTGAAGCACTTTGAGCTGCATTTTTAATGTATGAAAGGTGTTATATAAATAAACATTATTATTCCTTTATCCACTTTTTTATTTATGCTCCCTATTTAATCCGGTCAGACCCTAATTTATACTCTCTGAGAATCTAATACACTTTCAGTAGCATCCATCCATCACGCTGCTGTTTAATCCGCATGTGAAAATGCAATTTGTGTAAAGCTTTTCATAAATAAACAAAATCAGGAGGTCAGGAGATACGCTGGTTGGCCACGTCCACATGGTGGTCAATGCCACCGTCCATTCTGAGCTCTGCTTCGATCCAGAGAGTCTGTTTTTAAAGTAGCGAGTCAGCAGTAAAAGGAACAATGCAGTGCTCAGTGTAGGCACGGCTATGGTTTACAAAGTCCACCCACTTCTCAGTCCCAGTTGTGATTAATGTGAAATGCATCAAATGGGGCCAGTGAGCTGTCCTGCCAGTGACCCCCACCCTGGGGACCATTTAAGATTGAGGGCTCAACATTCAGACTTCGGCCCAGGATTCTAGCAGCCTATGTGCCATTTTCACTGAGCCACGCGGGAACAGAGGGGCATGAATGATCCCCTGTTAGCCAATAAAAAGAAAACATGCGTGCGCAAGCTTAATCTGCGATAACGGACTTTCCGAAAATAATCGGTGGAACAAGTTAAACAGACCAGAGAAGATATCAGAGCCGAGTTTGAGAGACCTTTTTCACCTAACCTAACCTTTCAAACTGATCTAATCTCCTCTGGACGAAACAATCTGCTGCATTAAAGGAGCCATTCAGAGCGGTTTGGTGTGAAATGGTTCAGATGTCTTTACAGTGGTGGTGATAGGAACCAGGGGTCGCCATGACTACAACACAAATATAGACATTTTATTTACTATCCAGAACCACCAGTGAACCTACACGAGTCTTCTGAGTTTATATGGAATGTTGATGATGGAAAATAATGGAAAACCTGAAATAATACGTTTTCTTTGGGGACTATTTTGCCTCACAGCGCCCTGCATGTATCCCTCCACCATGAATGGAGTTTAATTATTTAGATTTTAATTAAATTTTAATATTATTTTGGTATGTTTTAGCTATTTTTTTAGCTTTTATATTCTTTTTATTTATTTTATTATTGCCAGGTTATTGTTTTTTCTTTATCCATATATGATTTGTTATTTATAAAGTTACTATATTGTTATGTTGTTACAATGTTAGTGGTTTGTTGATTTTTTTTTTACTTTTTTTCACTAATAAATCTACTGTTATATTTATATTACTTTTTAAAAATTTTAATATGTTTTTATTATCCCTGATCTCTGCATTGACTCGGCTACACTGTAAATGAGGGTCTCCCTTAATGTACTCTACTTAATGAGTTTAAATAAAGCTCAACTGATTGATTGATTTAAAATTATGTTTTTGTATGAATAAACTACAATGGATTATGTATGTTTTATGTTTTATGATGGCTGATGTTCACATGGCATTTATCTGTCTTGCTGTGCATTCTCTTTGTGTATTTTGGATGTTG